CATTGATTTCAGTAGGGATGGCACCATGTTCAAGAGGCTGAAGAGACCTAGAATCAGAAACTGAGACATAAGGTTCATTGAGAGGACTTACAGTACAGGGAAGTCCAGCGGCAGTGGGCTGGACAGGAGAACCAAAACTCCTTGTAAAAAGCATGCAGTTGGCCAGGCACGTTGGCTCATACCTGTAATCCCAGCACTTTGGGAGGCTGAGGTGTGTGGATCACCTGAGGTCAGGAGTTTGAGACCAGACTGACCAACATGGTGAAACACTGTCTCTACTAAATACAAAAAAATTAGCCGGGCCTGGTGGTGGGCACCTGTAATCCCAGCCACTTGGGAGGCTAAGGCAGGAGAATCACTTGAACCCGGGAGGCAGAGGTTACAGTGAGCCGAGATTGTACCATTGCACTCCAGCCTGGGCAACAACAGCAAAAACTCTGTCTCAAAAAAACAAAAACAAACAAAGAGACATGCAGTTTATATAACACTTTTACTTAACACCTTTCCCCTAGCAACCTCTACCAGGCAACCTTCATTTTACCTAAAACAAAGGGCTTTGATCGCCTAGTAGGGCCTGCATTCTACAGGATGGGCTGGGGGTGGGAGCAGTTCGGAAGTTTGTCATAGATAAGAAATGAAATCTCTGGGTTGGCCACTCCCAGATTCCTTATCTCGGAGCTCTGAACACACATTCTTCTTAGACCATAGGGTCATTCTTCAGGTATGCATAAGTTATTGCTGCCAAGTGCATCCGTCAGGTGCATCTGCCATATGATCCTTACTAGAAGCATCCAAACACGGATTTGCGGGATCTACAGCAGACACCAGACAGACCCTCTGAATCTTTTTCTACTCTGATGCTGAAGCTATAATATTGGACTAAGCTTGTGCCTTCTACTTTTTTTTTTTTTTTTTTTTTTTTTTTTTTTTTTTTTTTTTTGAGATAGAGTCTTACTCTGTTGCCCAGGTTGGAGTGCAGTGCAGATCTTGGCTCACTGTAACCTCCACCTCCCAGGCTCAGGTGATCCTCTCACCTCAGCCTCCCAAGTAGCTGTGATTACAGGAGTGTGCCACCACACCTGGCTAATTTTTGTATTTTTAGTAGAGACAGGGTTTCACCATATTGCCTAGGCTGGTCTCAAACTCCTAACCTCAGGTGATCCGCCCTCCTCAGCCTGCTAAAATGCTGGGATTACAAGTATGAGCCACTGCACCCAGCCTACTCTTTTCTTGAAGGAGGAGTTTGTTCTTTGGAGGCTTTCCCTTCCTCAGGCAAGTAATTGCTGACTATTCCAGCCTACATAACGTCCAGATATATCCAAATCTGTGGAGAACATATAGTTCTTAAGGTATTTATTTGGAGTCAATAATCAAAGTCAAACTAATAATTATAGCTAATATTTAGTTTGTAGTTAATATATGCTAGGAGCTTGAGCTAAGCACTACCATCCCAGGACACTGAGGCTTAAAACACTTTTAAAATTTGTTCAAGCTCACAAGCTTGAAATTGAAGAAGAAAGCAATTGAATATTGGTCTTTCTACTACCATACATCCAGAGCTATGCACTTAACCAATACAATATACTGTCTCTTATTGCGCAAGTAATTACAAGGTTCATCTGTAAAATTCTATTCTGTAGAATAGAGGGGAAAACAAATTAAGGAATTACGGATGTTTATTCTTCTGAGCTTTAATTTAACATATTGTTCGATTAAAATAATTTATATATTAGTTATCTATTGCCACATAATACAATACCTCAAAATTTAACATTTTAAAACAACAAATATTCATTATTTCTCAGAGTTTCTGAGGATCAGGAATCTAGGAGTCACTTAACTGAGTGGTTCTGGTCCAGAAGACTCTCATGAAGTTGCAGTTAACCTGCCAGTAGTCATCTCAACAACCAACTGATGCTGAAGGAGCTACTTCCAAGTTCACTCAAGATTGTTGGTGGGCCTCAGTTTCTCATTAAATGCTGGCTGGAGACTTCATTCCTTGACATCACATGCACCCCTCAAAGGGCTGCTTATAACATGACAGCTTGCTTGTCTCTGAGCAAGAGAAAGAGAAAAAGAACATCCATGATGGACATCTTTTATAATGTAATTACCCAAGTGATATAAGTATCATCACTAATGCTATATGCTTTTGGTCACATAGACCAATCCTGGTACAGGGATCATTCATTGGGTGCCATCTTGGAGGCAAGCTACCACATCTGCTAAGGTATGAATGCATTTAATCTAAAGTTCTAGCCCTGAACTGTAGGGTTTTCTACCATATAAACCAGTTTTGCATTTTTTAACATGTAAAATAGGAAGATCCTAATTCAGAATCTTGCAGGATAAAGGGCCTTGGGTAACTGATTCAGATTCTAAGCTCTCTTTCTCTTTTAAAAGACGAAATTTAAGGCTGGGCATGGTGGCTCATACCTATAATCCCAGTACCTTGGGAGGCCAAGGCATGGGGATCACTTGAGGTCAGGAGTTTGAGACCAGCTTGGCCAAAATGGCGAAACCCCATGTCTACCAACAATACAAAAAAAATTAGCTGGGTGTAGCGGGGTGTGGCTGTAGTCCTAGCCACTTGGAAGGCTGAGGTGGGACGATTGCTTGAGCCTGGGAGGTGGAGGTTGCAGTGAGCCAAGATTGTCCCATTGCACTCCAGCCTGGGTGACAGAAGGAGACCCTGTCTCAAAAAAAAAAAAAAAAAAAAAATTTAAATAGTAATCGCATTCAGATAGGAATCACAGTGCACCTGGAACTGGATGGCGCCATCTTAGGTTGCTCTCTGCTTTGCGCATGTGGACAAGCCGTCCATGACAAACGGTTTATTTTCTTCCTAAGGATGTGCAGCTTCTTTTGTAGTCTACTGCATTGTTTTCAATCCCTTTCAGGAATGTTATCTGATGCCCAACTGATATTTCTCAAATGTTAAAATAAGACTTCTTCACCATGTTTGGTCTGGACACAGGTCAACATTCTTCTCATAGAAGCTTTCGTTTCTTTTGAAGTATTAAAACAATATTTTAGCACACAAAAAAGGAGTTTATTTTCAAGAAGCTTTGCTTTCTTTTTCAGTTAGTTCTAGATAAGAACTATAACTTCACATAAGATGTTAGAAGGATTTAAGTACATTGCTGAAGGTATAACCATCCATCTTCAGGAAGCAAGAATAGTGAATAGTAAGTATAAAGAAACAAATAAGTCCTGTGATAACATCTTTATCATAATTTTTAAAGTCTATTATGCTTTATGCAAATGTTTAGATTTCCTTGTTAATCTGTGGGCAAGGTTAGGTTCCTTTTCTGTAGCTTTATTTTCAACTTACAATATAGTGACTATTAAATATTCTTTACCCAACACATTATATTGTAAAAATATACACTTAGTTCTGTTTCTATCACTAAGCCACTACTATTTTAAAAAGGAATATCTTGCATTGTTAAGTTTAGCAGCCCAAATTCTTGAAGGCCTTAGGAATGGTGCTATCCAATAAGATAACCAATAGCAACACGTGGCTACTGAGCACTTAAAAAATGAGTCTGGCCAGGCATAGTGGCGCACGTCTGTAATCCAGCATTTTGGGAGGCTGAGGTGGGAGGATTGCTTGAACCCAGGAGTCTGAGACCAGCCTGGGCAACACAGGGATGACTTGTCTCTGAGAAATACAAACAAATAAAAAATTAGCTGGGCATGGTGGCATGTGCCTGTAGTCCTAGCTACTCAGCAGGCTGAGGCAGGAGGCCCACTTAAGCTTACGAGTTCAGGGCTGTGGTGAGCTATGATTGTGCCATTGCACTCTAGCCTGGGTGACAGAGTGGGACCATGTCTCCAATAAATAAATGAATAAATATTAAAAAGCAAAAAGTGTGGCTAGTCCAAATTGAAATGTGCTGTAAAATACACACTGGATTCCTTTTTTTTTTTCCAAATCCCGAGAACCTGTGAAATACACTGAATTCTTAAGATTTAGTATGAGGAGGGAAAAAAAGATCAATGATTTACATACAACAATGTAAAATATCAACAATTTCTATATTGATTATATGATGAAATGATCATGTTCTGGATATACTTGATTAAATATACTATTAAGTTAATTTCATCTTTTATTTTTACTTTTTAAATATGAGCATTGCCAGATAAAATACAGGACAACCAGTTACATTTTTATTTTATATATTCCTGCATGGGACATATTTAAAAATTATTCATTCTATATCTGAAATTCAAATTTAACTAGGAGTCCTATATTTTTATTTGCTAAATCTGGCAATTTTATTAATATGGCTACCAGAAAAGTTAACATAACAAATGTAGCTCCTTATCCTATTGAACATTGCTGCTTTAGAATCACCTCACTGCTTTTTTTTTCTTCCCCCAGTTAGCTTCCGAATAAACTCTGCAAGGAAATAACTAATCTGTGGGGAATATTTAATCCTAGGCTAGGATCGTTAATCGTGAAGTAAAATTTTTACATCTGCATGAACAAAATGGCTTGTTACAGAAGAAAATGTGGAAAGGGCATCGGGACTAGAATGAAAAGTCATAGCTCCCAGACTCTCTACTAGGGTAGTTAACAGTCCCAGGTTCAAAATAATCCCCTTCCCTCTTATAAGGATAGGTGCTGTCAAGAGCAACTATCTGTGAGACCCTAGCCCAGTTACTTCCTCCTCACCCCCGCCCCCAAGTAGGCCTCGCAAAAAGTTGGGAGCGGCGCGTTTTCAACACTGGAGCTTCGCGGTCGCTCTCCCACTCGCTCCCAGTCCCCCGATGGAGGAGCGAGTTCGGACTCGGACCCCAAGGCCGCTAGTCCCGCTGCCTTCCTAAGCCGAGCCCAGGCTACCTCGGTAGTCCCCAGCAGGCTAGGCTGGCGGAGGCCTGGCCGCCGCCAGGCCCCCAGGACAGGCCCCGCCGGTGCCTCAGGTGCACTCGGCTGCCGGCCCGCCCCGCGCCCTCGCGGCCCTCCCCAGCTCCGCCCTAGCGGCCCGCCCCAGCTCCGCCCTCGCCGGCCCCGCTCTGCCTGCCGGCGGGGCGCGCCTTGTGGCCCAGGCCCGGAACCCTCCCCGGCCGCGCGCCCTATGTAAGGCCGGCCGCGGCGGGACCAAAGCGACCAAGGCGGCAGTGTCAGCTCGCGAGCCTACCCTCGGCGGACGGTCTTGGGTAGCTCGCTGCCAGGCTCGCCCGGTAGGTTGCGGGTGCCCCGCGCGCACGCGCAAAGCCCTCCGCGTCCCGCGATCCCAGGCCGCGCTCTGTGGGCCTCTGAGGGCGGCATGCGGGACTACGACGAGGTGACCGCCTTCCTGGGCGAGTGGGGGCCTTTCCAGCGCCTCATCTTCTTCCTGCTCAGCGCCAGCATCATCCCTAATGGCTTCACCGGCCTGTCCTCCGTGTTCCTGATAGCGACCCCGGAGCACCGCTGCCGGGTGCCGGACGCCGCGAACCTAAGCAGCGCCTGGCGCAACCACAGTGTCCCACTGCGGCTGCGGGACGGCCGCGAGGTGCCCCACAGCTGCCGCCGCTACCGGCTCGCCACCATCGCCAACTTCTCGGCGCTCGGGCTGGAGCCGGGGCGCGATGTGGACCTGGGGCAACTGGAGCTGGAGAGCTGCCTGGATGGCTGGGAGTTCAGCCGGGACGTCTATCTGTCCACCATTGTGACTGAGGTGGGTGCCGGTCTCTGCTGGGGCTGAGACTGGGGCGCGGAGGAGACTGTCGCGGTCCTTGAACCCGAGCTCCTGTCTCCCAGATGCGCGCTGGACGCTGTCACTCCCCCTCCCCCAACAGTCAACACCCTAGCGATGGAGACCCTCCAGCCAGGTGGCTTGGGAACACTTCACAAGGTGACCTCCAGCCAGAGTGTGCTCCTCCCTGCGAGAGGTTGTCAGTGTGGTCTCCCATCCTGATGGCCACTTTGCGAGGGTACCAGGAAGGTCCTGGCGGTCCTTGGGCGATACTCTATGGCCCTGAGTGTCCAAGACTTCCTCTAGTTGGGGTTGCGGGTGGTGAGTAGCAGAGCCAGGGCTTGGGCCAGGGGCTGTCCCGTTTTTCCTCTAGTCTCTTGGCTTCTTTTTAGAAGAGAGGAAATACTTATCTTTCCTGAACTTTTCAAGTTAAATAAAGCATGTGTGTACAACTGCCTCTTCCCTTTTTCCCCTAGTTACTCCTTCCCCTACCGTCTACAACCCAGAATGACAATCTGGTCATGCCCTGTAAGTAATCCTTTGACTTTTCCCGTGGTCAGTTGTCAGTCTTTTTTTTTTTTTTTTTGAGACAGAGTCTCCCTCTGTCGTCAGGCTGGAGTGCAGTCGTGCGTTCTCGGCTTACTGCAACCTTCGCCTCCCGGGTTCAAGTGATTCTCCTGCCTTAGCCTCCGAGTAACTGTGAGCCACGACGCCCAGCTAATTTTTGTGTTTTTAGTAGAGACGGGGTTTCACCATGTTGGCCAGAATGGTCTCGATCTCTTGACTTCGTGATCCACCTGCTTCTGCCTCCCAAAGTGCTGGGATTACAGGTGTGAGCCACCGCACCAGGCTGTCAGTTGTCAGTCTTTAAGATCCATTCATCTGAAGATCTGTTCAGGGTGACTTGTTGACCTGGAATGTTTTCTAAGGTATTATAAGGTAAGGCTGTTGGCCAGATTTAGTTAAAGCATACAACTTTAGGTCATAGGGTGTGGGGGAACCTTTCTCATTTCTCAGCTCCTTGAATTTTCCCTCTGGGTGGTTTTTTCTGTCCCCTCTGAACCTGTTGGAGCAGTTGTTGGAGCTGGATGTAGGAACATGGTGTTAATGATGGATATGTTTTGTGTCTTTTTCAGACACTGGCACTCTAGCTCCCTGAAGTTTCAGCAGCATTGAGTAACTAGCCAGTGAATAGCCCTCATTGATAGATAGGCTCACTAAAATGTGCTAATGACGAATTCGCAGGTTAGAGAAGGCTTCCTGGAGGAGGAGGCCTCTCAGTGAGCCTAGGGTGTTCAGCTCAGCATAATAGTGAGCTGAAGGCCCCAGTGCAACGGCAAGAAACCACCCAGCAGGAAGGCAGAGTTCACAGAGAGGGGAGAGTTCACAGAGAGGGAGAGTGCCACAGGCCCTGGCATGGCTTCAAGCCCTGCTGGATGTTGGTGCTGAGCCTCCCTCCTGGAGCCTCGGAAGGGCTTACAGGGGCTCTGGAGGTCCCAACTGTATTGCTTCTTGGCATCATCACTCTTCAAGGGAGTCTGAGAGCTACCCCTAGAGACTCAAGTGTGTGTGCACGTGTGTGTTTTTTCTATGTTTGGAAATTTGATGTCCCCAGCACCTGGACCTGCTTTCTCCACATGTATGTAGTGGGAGTGTGACCTGAGCCCCACTGGGATTTCTTAGCTAGTGACATAGCTGCAGTGTCCAGAGGCATCGTGACTTGACGAAAGAGGCACTCCCTGGAGGTAGCCAACTATGCTTTCTGGCCTATGAATCCACAGGGAATTGGAACCTTCAGTTGCCACAAATCCTGGGTCCTCGCCTCACAGGTGGGTCTGTTACCTTCCTGGAAGCCAGTGAGTACTATGAAAGCAGAGGCTGTCCCTGAGGTTGCAGGCAGAGGCCACAGAGGGGAACATGACACAGGAATCCCTACAAATTCTACTTGGGGCTGCCTAAAGAAGAGGGAGGTGGTGAAGTGAGAAGAAGCTCATGGCATCTCTTGGGGTTTTACATTGACCCCTGAGGGACCCCAGCTTACTCTAGTCATTTGTTCCTGCTTTGCTGCCCCCATCCCACATTGGGCTGAGTGGTGGTGGCATTGATGAACTCCCAAAGGCCAGCCATGCCAGGGGGTCTGACTTTATCTTGCTGCCAGTGTCAGCCTTTTGTTTTTTAATATTTAGACTATTTATTTAGCTGTCTTAGCAGTTTCAAAGCAGTTGTGTGCCCTTTCACCTACTTATATGTTGTCAGTCTTTGTAGGGAGGCCAGATTAATGCTTAGATCTTTGTTTTGGGCTACTGGAATGCTTGACTTGAAGTTCAGAGCTACTTATTCCCAGGTGAACAGCTACTGCTGGAAGTTGCTGCATCAACATTCTAATGGCTTTTTCTATGGCCTGTTGTCTTTCAACCCAAACCTGCCCTGCTGACCACTGCATCTAGTCCCGTGCCTGCTAAATGTCTCTAAGCCTGCCCTCTGCCCCAAATCATACATTTGTAAGTACACTGGTATTGCATTACTAGTCATATTTTTTCCACTGAAGACTGCAACCTCGGATGTCTTGTTTGGATTTTTTTTCTTTGTTCAAGTTAAAGTACATACATGTAGTACCAAACTTTGTGGTGGATTTAGATCTTTGCATCTTCCTCAATTTCTGACACAATTCTGGATGCAGAGGGAGGTTCTCAGGAAAATTTTTATTGAATGGGTTAATGAATAATTTAAGAAATCATCTCTAAAATTTCAGAACTAAAGAAAAATAGTTCAGTTCTTAGAAGGGAAGCTTGAGGGTGGCTGAAAAAGATTGACTGGAATTTTTTAAAGGAAAGGTGACTCCCCCTGCCCACTGACTGGGGCTTTGACGCCACATGGATGTGGAATGAGGTGTTGGAATTGGCAGAGGGAATCTGCCAGTAATTAACAAATAAATAAATATTGGCAGGGTGTGGTGGCTCACGCCTGTAATCCCAGCACTTTGGGAAGCCAAAGCAGCAGATCACTTGAGATCAAGAGTTCAAGACCAGCCTGGCCAACATGGTGAAACTCCATCTATACTAAAAATACCAAAATTAGCTGGGTGTGGTGGCACGCACCTGTAATCACAGCTACTTGGGAGGCTGAAGCAGGAGAATCGCTTGAACCCGGGAGACGGATGATGCAGTGAACCAAGATCGAGCCACTGCACTCTAGCCTGGGTGACAGAGCGAGACTCCATCTCAAAAGAATAATAATAATATTAATAAATAAAGATGATTTTATAAGGTGAAAGAGTTTTATACCCCCATGTTTCAGGAATCGTTTGGTGGTCCACGTGGTTCTAGGCTGGCCTCTCCTGTGGCCCCTTAGTCATCCCTGGGGTACTGGGGAATTAGCCAACCCATCATGCAGTGCTTCTTGGCCATGGACTGCCACATCTGCTGGGAACCTGGGTGGCTTCTGAGATTGCCTGGGCTGCCTGTTCTTTGGTTTCACCATAGCTCTGTCCAGCCTGTGGACAGACAGGTTCCTTGAGAAACTTCTGGCCGGGTGTGGTGGCTCATGCCTGTAAATCCAGCACTTTGGGAGGCGGAGGCAGGCGGATCACAAGGTCAGGAGTTAGAGACCAGCCTGGCCAACATGGTGAAACCCCGTCTCTACTAAAAATACAAAAATTAGCCCCACATGGTGGCAGGTGCCTGTAATCCCAGCTATTTGGAAGGGAGACTGAGGCAGGAGAATTGCTTGAACCTGGGAAGCAGAGGTTGCAGTGAGCCAAGATCGCGCCATTGCATACCAGCCTGGGCGACAAGAGCAAGACCCCATCTCAAAAAAGAAAAGAAAAGAAAAGAAACTTCCAAGCTGCTCTGCATCGCCTTGCTCTTCACCTGTCTGCTTCTGAGAAGCCCTCGGCCCAGTCCTGGGTGGGACTCCCACTCCCTCCCTATTGTCCTGGACTAGTTTTTCTATCAGCCTTATGTCGTGTAGAGATAAATAGTCTTAGAAGATGGGAGAGCCCTCACTGTTATTCCCAAAGCTGCCTGGAGGAAAAGCCAGAGCAACCTGGAAACTGGGGCTAGGGCTGGCTCTGGGCAGCAGAGACCCGAGAGACCTGGAGCTTGAGCCTCACTGCTACACCTTTGCTGATTTCTCTCACTCAGGGGACACACAGACCCTCATCCAGGCTTTTGCAGCTATACAGCAAGGCAGAGAAGCCACCTGTGGGGTCCCGTGGCCCACTATGCATACACATAGTAGACACTTCTGGCCATGATTGGTCAGATTGAGCCACTCTAGCTAGCTGAGACCTGTCATCCTGGGTCAAAGTTCTGACAGTTGACACAAAGCAGGGGGTCAGGGAGCCAGAAAAAAAAAAGTGCCAGGCGTGGTGGCTCTTGCCTTTAATCCCAGCACTTTGGGAGGCCAAGGTGGGCGGATAACCTGAGGTCAGAGTTCAAGACCAGCCTGGTCAACATGGCAATACCCCATCTCTACTAAAAATACAAAGCTTAGCCAGGCTGGTGGTGCATGCCTGTAGTCCCAGCCACTCAGGAGGCTGAGGCATGAGAATCACTTGAACCCGGGAGGTGGAGGTTGCAGTAAACCGAGATTGTGCCACTGCACTCCAGCCTGGGCAACAGGGCAAGACTCTGTTTCAAAATTAAAAAAAAGGTATTCTGGAGATTGAAGTTCAGAAGTTCAGGGTTCATCTCGACTTTGGGCAGCCAAGCAAGAACTAAAGTATACCAAGACGTTGAAGGTTGATACCTTTTTATTTATCCATTCATTCACTCACCTATGTACCAAAGAGCTCCTGAGCCTCTCCTCTATAAAGGGGGCACTGCCAGGAGTTGTAGACGATGTGATAGCAAAGATAGCAAATACCTTTTCTCTTTGCTCTGACAACAGTGGGGCAAGGATTATTTGCATCATTAATTGCAGCAGGAGGCAGGACAAAATGTGTGTAGGAATATAGGAATACATGGCAGTCAGTAACGTGGTGCCTAGCCGCATGTCTGCCTGTTGATACGGTCAGGCTAGGTACATCCCCTTAGGGAAGAACTTCTGCCTTAGGGGCACACACCCTATCTTTTTTTTCCCTTCCTGCCAATTCACAGGTAAGAACATTCAGTCCCAGGGAACTATGTCATCTCTCTACTTCTCATAACTGAAAAGCAGTGCCAATTATGTATGAGGTACAGAAGACACAATTCTCCCTCTTTTTAAAAACATTTAACAGCTTTATTAAGGTATAAATGACATAAAAACTGCATGTAGCTAAAGCATGCAATTTGACCTACATGTATCTCTACACCCTTGAAACCATCACCACTAGAAAGGTGCATTTCTCCTCAGGAAGGGGGGCAAGTCTAGGCCCTTTGCCAGAGTTGCTCCCAGATTGTTTTCAGGTTGGGCCTGCTTTCATAGCTCAGCCAGCTGAAGGGTGACAGCGTTAGGCTCATGACCCAAATCTTAAACCCACACATTCCATTTTAACATTGTTACCTGTGATCATCAGCCAGTACAGCCCATCCCATGTACCAGGTGGAGGCATCAATAAGCTGGTCTATAGCGGCTTTAATCACAGCTGGTGAACCAGGAGCTAAGGAATGCTAGACTCCTTTGTAAACACTTTAAGCAGGGGGTACTTAGCCTGGACTCTATGTGCTTCTTACCCACCTCTTCTAAGGGGGATTCAGGCCAAGTCCTGGAACCCACTGCAGTCCATCTGGTGGTTGGCAGGTATGTGGACGGATTGGCAGGCTGGGACCCAATCTATGTTTGCCCTTGTGTTCAGTTTTGAGACCTAGTGCCTTTCCTGATCCTGCTTATAGACCTGCTTACAGATCCTGCTTACAGATCCTGGTTACTGGTCTGTAGCCAGTAGGAAAGAAGTGTTAATGCATATTTGCTTTTGGAGGGCCCAAAGCCAGGTCCAGAGAGTTGTCAAGGGCTGTCGTTGGGTGGATGGCAGAGTTAACCAAGGAGTTACACACCTGCCTAGGCTAAGGACAGGCTGGACCAAGTGGAGAGGGTGGGGCTAAGGGAGCCTAAGAGATGCTCTGGGGCCTATCTCAAAATGAACACTACAGTCACCCTGTCCCCTGCAGAGATTGACCTGGTTTTAGGTCGCACCCAACCTTGCCAGCCCAGGAGTCCGTAGAAGCCTGATATTGGGAGACCTGTCCTGGGGTCTGCAACTCCAGAACTCACTACAGAAGCCCATGTGGATTGCTAGTCTAGCTCAGCCATATGGGTCCCCAACCCTCACCTCATGATAGTCCTGTTGAGAAACCACTGCTGACCCTTTGTTTGTGTTTTCATCTTTTCTACTATAAAAGACATGCTAGCTGGGAAATAGAGCCCATCATACTCAAGAGTGGCAGGAGCCAGGACCTGGCCCCTGAAGCTTGGCCTCACACACAGAGGCTGGCACCCTCTCATCAATTCCCTCAACTTTGTCTCTCCCTCCACTCCCAGTCCTAGATTTAGCAGCCATGTGTGAGTGGGGGCCACTGCAGGGATACTCACCCACCTACCAGAGAGATGGCCTGTGGGTGCTGGCCTATGGAGGTTGGAGGCTGTGGCAGCCTGGGCACTCAGGCTGTAGTGCTCCCATGTTCTTGACTCCTGCTAGTCTGGGCTGCCTCCTGATTAAGGGTTGGATGCTCCAATTCTTCCCTGGGTTGGGGATTGCCACCCTACTCCCAGCCCATCCAGGTCCATGCTTATTCCAAAGCGGAGAGCCAGCAGCGTGCCTGCTGCGAGGGTTCTCTGTGTCCAGCCTGAGTCTTGCCTGCCAACCCCCCTGAGAGGTGTCCAGAGGCATGGAGAAGCAGGCTTGTTTTTCCCTGTCACTGGCCCGGAAGAGATGCTTTGTTCTAGGGAGCCGCATGTCCCCTTGCCTGCGTTGTTGGTGAGGAGCCAGCAGGCTCCGTGGAGGGCAGGCCAGCAGCCTGGCGCCAGGGAGGCAAGGGTCTGAGTTCTTAGGAGGGTGGCTGCTCATGTGAGAAGTCTGCAAAGGTTACTACTGAGCACCATCTCTCTGTCCGAAAAACATTTTTCTTTTTTCTGTGAACCACCAAGTATCCTGTTTGGGCTTTCTTCCTGGTTAGGCAGGCGCAGCCTGATACAAGTGTCTGACTGCTTCCCCATGTCTTCAGACCTCTTTTTCTGTTCATGGTAACTGTAGATGGAACCACGCATTGGATGCTGGAAACTCAAGAGGTGCAGCCTGTTCCTTACCTCAATTGCTGTTTTACAAATGGGGAAATCAAGGCACAGCATGGGGTGATGCTTATCTGAAGTTGGAAGAGTTAATAGTAGAGTGGGAGCTAAAACCCAGTTTCTTACCTCCAAGCTCAGAGCTTTCAGCTGTAATTGAGCCTAGTATAGTTGGTGTGCAGTATCAGGGATTCCAGCTCTAAAGGTCACAAGAAGGACCCGGGGGTCGTTGGCCCAGGGTGGGAACCTGAGCAGAACAGGTCCAGATGGCACACTCTGTGCCCTGGCCTTAGTTTCTTGCTGGATACTTTAGCCTGTAGAACCCCAGAGCCCTGCTTCCAGAACCACTCCAGTGACGTTCATGCCAATGGCCTGAACCCCACTGAGCGAGGGTGCCCTGCCTCTTCCACAGCCCTGGGCTCTGCTCAGATTTTTAGGAGCAAGCGTAAGAGGCCTTGCCTTCTTCAGGGTCAGCATGTTGATAGAACAGTTACTCTCTGCCTGTCTGTCCTCAAAATGGAAGCAAGACAGTGGGGCCCACAATGCTATGAAAAACAGGATGGGGAGGAAGCCTGCTCTCTGCCTTCCTGCCCAGGTGAGCCATCACCTGACTAAATGAGTTCACACTCAGAGCGTGCAGGGATGCAGGATGTTCTGACTTCGTTTTCCAGGATGCCTTTGCTTTAAAAACCTTTCAAAAAGAAGGGAATGATACACCCCTTTGTTCATCTTGCAGTGGAACCTGGTGTGTGAGGACGACTGGAAGGCCCCACTCACGATCTCCTTGTTCTTCGTGGGTGTGCTGTTGGGCTCCTTCGTTTCAGGGCAGCTGTCAGACAGGTAAGGTGTCTGTCTCCTACAGCAGCAGGGGACCTCAGCACTGAGCGAGAAGTGTGTGCCTGGCCCTTGATTTCAGTTGGTAGTATTCCTTCAGCCCAGGGCCCTGTATTTTAAAGAAGAGGAAGCTATGTTTATGGTATAGACTCCGTGCCTAGTAAAAAGAGCGAACAAATCTGACTCCATAATTCTTGCTAAGTAAAGAAATCTGAGCTATGTAAGCCGAGTGTATCTGATCCGGTTGACTAGGTAATATGCGATGATTCACTTCTGCAGTAACCTGGCTTGCTTCCCCTGGGTCACCGTGACTCTGTCATGCCCCTGAGCATGGGAGAAGTTGACTTCATGCACACATGCACATGTGCTGGATTGTAGATCTGTAGTGGTGCCACGGTGTCTACCTCTGTTGTCCTAAGAAGACCAGCATTCTGTCTGCAGAGTGAGAGGACCTCTCACCAGCCACTAGTGGTATGACAAGCAGAACTCTTATGTCCACAAGGCTGATGCCCCTTAGCTAAGTGGCCTGTGATTTTGGCATTTACTTTATGACAGGAGGGAGAATACTGTTTTGATCCATTTCTCATAAGCAGGTTATTTGTGTAATTCTAAAGCTTTTAACTCAAGGAAACATTAATGACTTAGAGAATCTCAAACCCCTCGAAATTGTATGCACAATGTTAGAGACTACATGTGAGCATTTTTTTGGAGAGAGGTCCGTAGCTTGCATGAAGTTCTCACAGGGGTCCGTTATGTTGTGTCTTCTTTCCCTGGAGCTTCAGGGTCTGTCACAGAAGACTGTGAAGAGAGTAGCAGCCTTCAGCAAATCCTTGGCCACATGGCACATGTGAGAACACCCCACAGATTGGTGGGTTACCCAGTGGAAAGGAGTCCCAGCATCTTCCCTGGTTTTTAATTCCTGGCCTCAAGCAATCCTCCCTCCATAACCTCCCAAAGTGCTAGGATTACAGGTGTGAGACACCATGCCTGGCCAGATATTTTGTTGTTGTTTTTGTTGTTGTTGTTGTTGTTGTTGTTGGAAACAGAGTTTCACTCTTGTTGCCCAGGCTGGAGTGCAATGGTACGATCTCGGCTCACCGCAACCTCTGCCTCCTGAGTTCAAGAGATTCTCCTGCCTCAGCCTCCCGAGTTGCTGGGATTACAGGCATGTGCTACCACGCCCAGCTAATTTTGTATTTTTAATAGAGACGGGGTTTCTCTGTTTTGGTCAGGCTAGTCTCGAACTCCCGAACTCAGGTGATCCGCCCGCTTTAGCCTCCCAAAGTGCTGGGATTACAGGCGTGAGCCACTGTACCTGCCCAGCCAGATATTTTTTTAAAAAACAGGCTAACCTGTTTATTATTCCTAGTTTACAGATGGAGAAAGTGAAACAGAGGGATTAAATAACTTGCCCAAGATATCACAGCTGGTAAGTGGCAGAGTTAGGATTTGGACCCAGATAGTCTTGCTCCTTTATTTTGTATGGACTACTGTTCTAGGTCCATCCTGTCCTAGAACTTGCTTTCTAGCAAAGTGGAATGTATTAAACAACCAAGTGAGGAAGTCGTTGTTGTCCCTGGTCATGGTAAGTGATAAAGAGAAGTAAGTGCAGGGTGCCACAGGAGTGTCTAACAGAGGAGGTCAGGGGCGGCATCCCTGAGAAGGTGAAGCATGAGCCGAGAGTTGAAAGATGAGTCGAAAGTAGCCAGCTGAGGGGTAGAGAAGAGAAAGAACATCCAGGCAGGGAGAACAGCACGTACTAAAGCAGGGGCTCAGGAAGAGGCATGGCAGCAGGACAAAGTCTGTACGGTAGAGGTGCAGAGAGTGGTGTTAAGATGAAGGGGAGAGGCATGCAGAGCCCTGAGCAGACGAGCAACCAGGGCTTAATGGATCACAGTTAGGACTTTGGGCTTCAGCCACAGAGCAGGAGTGGGCTACTGAGATTTTTTAAAACAATAGTGTGACAATCAGATTTGTACTTTTTTTAAAAAAAAAAAGATGCTTTGACAACCTTGTGGAGAAAGAATTGAAGGGAAGCAAAAGGTGTTGCAGAGAGACCAGTTAAAAGGTTGTCACAGTAGTTCATGCCAGAGATGATGGTAGCATGGGCTACTATGACGGTGGTAGAAATGGAGGGAAGTGGTAAGAGGTAAAATCAACAGGACTTGCCGATGGGCTGGATGTCGTAATTGAGGGAAGAAAGCTTTCTGGCCTGGGTAACTGGATGAAGAAGGTACACTTCTCTAAGACAGAGAACGCTGGAAAAGAACCACATTCATAGATGTTGAGTTCAATTTGTGTGCACTAAATTTGGGGTGACTATGAGGCCCCTAAGTGGAGAAGTAGAGTGTGCAGCTGGCTGTGTGGATATGGTACTGCATGAGAGGTTTTGGCTGCAGAAACACATGTAGGAATTGTCAGCGTATAGAACCCTCAGCAGAGCCCCAGATGGGGATGAGGTTGCCTGGGGAGAGGGAAGCGGGGAGGGTAGAGGGGAACTGGGGGAGGATTGTGCTGTGCTTAGAGGCCTCCCGAGTGGACATGGGAGATTCCTTCTCACGGAGCTAAGTGACAGCTGAGGCTCAGAGGAATGCCCTTGATGTGAAAAAGAGAATGCCCAAGTTCAGAGTAGAAATGCAGTGTATTTTTCTGGGTCAACTGTGTCATGGCTCAGCTTAAGAACCTGCTCACCATGTGACACAATGATTACCTGAGGAAAGCATTTAAGTTCCAAAAGGTCTATTCCCAGGGAAACTGGAAACAAAATTCGTGAGTATGTTTAGGACCACTTTAGTCTACAGAAGGGCTAATATAGTGTTTTTCAAACCTTTCTAAATATTCTGGCAACAGAACTTTCATTAAAGTAGGATCATTTAAGTCTAGTAAATGAAATACACCCTAAGTGGCTAAAAGTATGACTGTTCTGCCTGCAGCCCCTGCCTTCAACTCCCAATGCCCTGCCTCAAGCCTGTCTGTGCCCCCTTGGAAGGCCCAGTGCCCTGTGGGACGGACAGCTTCTGAGTGCGTTATTTCTGAGTAAACCAGTTCCAAAACCTAAGCTAAATAGATTACCTGAAAGCAATCAATTCATGCCCTAACTCGTCTAGGACGTCAAAAAACTATACTTTTTTATAGTATAAAGGTTTCACCATCTTTCTGGCATATGAATACATCTGAAATTCAAGAGCAATTAAAATACTCCTGGGTTGTCAAAGCCCTTTATGTGACACTACTGAGTCATCTTTATGCGTGTGACTTGTAAGAGATGCGCAACCCTGGGAAGAAGTAGACTGCTGTGTCCTGTTTCCAGGTATGTGTGTGTTTGCCATTTTGTTGACAGACTTTAAAAGCAAACATTTCTGATCCCAACCCTGAACTGCCAAGGACTGGTGCTATGTAAAAGGTTCTCTGGATCTGTCTCTTCCCTACCATCCCAGGGAGCTCTTAGGAAGGGAAAGGGCATAGAGATTATACCAGCCTGCCTTGTGGTTAGGAACCACCCCTTGGTTGGCATATAGAACACTCTTATTAAAAAAACAATGCAGGGGACAGTGGAGTCTACTTCCAGGCGAGGGTTTCTCGACCCTATTAACATTTTGAGCCAAATAATTCTGTTGTAGGGCATTTTCCTGGGCATTTTAGAATATTTAACAACATACCTGGCCTCTACTCATTAGATGCCAGTAGTACCCCAAACTGATGGGGAAAAAAAACAACAGAAAAAAACTCTTTTATTTTTGGTTAGTTTTTATTTCATAATCATAAACTTAACTCTGCAATCCAGCTAGGCATGGGAGAGAACAAGGAAAACATGGAACCCAAAGGGAACTGCAGCGAGAGCACAAAGATTCTAGGATACTGCAAGCAAATGGGGTGGAGGGGTGCTCTCCTGAGCTACAGAAGGAATGGTCTGGTGGTTAAGATAAAACACAAGTCAAACTTATTCTAGTTGTCCACAGTCCGCAATGGTGATCTTCTTGCTGGTCTTGCCATTCCTGGACCTAAAGCGCTCCATGGCCTCCACAATATTCATGCCTTCTTTCACTTTGCCAAAGACCACATGCTTGCCATCCAACCACTCAGTCTTGGCAGTGCAGATGAAAAACGGAACCATTTGTGTTGGGTCCAGCATTTGCCATGGACAAGATGCCAGGACCTGTATGCTTTAGGATAAAGTTTTCATCTTCAAATTTCTCCCCATAGATGGACTTGCCACCAGTGCCATTATGGCGTGTGAAGTCACCACCCTGACACATAAACCTTGGAATAATTCTGTGAAAGCAGGAACCCTTATAACCAAATCCTTTCTCTCCAGTGCTCAGAGCACGAAAATTTTCTGCTGTCTTTGGAAGTTTGTCTGCAAACAGCTCGAAGGAGACACAGCCCAAGGGCTCGCCGTCGACCGCAATGTCGAAGAACACGGTAGGGTTGACCATGGCTAGTAGTACAGGACTTTCCTCGGTGGCAGCGTCTGCAAAGCCAAAAAAACTCTTACATTGAGGAAAAACACCAAACTCTTCCACATAGTTGTAAGACCTTGTACAATTTGCCTCCTAGCCACCACTGTAGTCTTGAATTGCACGCCTGATGCCAACCACACTGGCTCCTCATGTTCACCATGCCCCCTCCAGCCACGGGGGTGTGTGGTCTTCTCAGAGTCTGAAGCATTCCCCACACACCCCAACCCACCCCCTGTGGCTTTCTTTAACCATGCCAGCTAATTCAGCATCCCTAGTTCCTTGTGACTTTCCTTTATAACGTCTACCAGAAATTGGGGGAAAAAAACTGTTACTATAGGATTAATGTTGGTCTTCCCCACTATACTGTGAATATCATTGAGAGCTCGGTCCCTACACCTTAAATCCCCCACTGTCAACTACTTTTTCCCATCTCAGTGCCCCATGATCAAGGAGACCCTCCCTGAATGTCCAGTTCTCCGACCCTTACCCCCAGTCCAGGGTAGCTTACTTCCTTGTGCCTCTCATGAACCTGCATTCCAGTCCTTCAGTGCGCTTGACTCGGTGTATAATTGTATATTCAGAAGGGTGGTGTTAGATTAAAATGTGGTTAATGTATGTTTCACCAGTTATACTATGACACTCCTTAAGGGCAGAAATAGCATCTTTTTTATTTATTGATATCCAAAGTGCCCTCTATAATGGATGCTCAATAAACATTGAATGAAAGTGGGTGTCAGCCAGTACTGGCCAGACTCAAACTGAATCCAGTGCTTCCCACTAGCTTGACTTTTTCCTTCTTTGTTGCACTCTCTTTAAAACAAACCAAAATAAACCCAACTTTAAAAACTTTTAAAAATGAGCACGGATACAGAAAACCACACAGAAAAAATATGCAGCTTAATGAATTTTTTCAGAGAAATAACCTTATGACCACTTCCAAGTCAAGCAGTAGAACTTTGCTGTCCACTAAGAAGCCCTGTCCATGTGCCCCATCCCAATTACAGCATCCTCTCTCTCTCCCCGTTAAGTGACCGCTAGCCTGACTCCTGTAATAATCACTTCCTTGTGAGTTTTTTTTAGTTTTATTATCGAAATATGCATCTTGACACAAGTTTGGTGTTGCCCGCTTAACATATTTGATGTCTTTTAGTCTACTTAATCCATGGATTCTCCTTCTATCCCCTTCTATGCCTTACTGATTATCTATGAAGAAACTGAGCTGTTCCACCTATAGAATTTCGCAGTCTGGATTTTGTTGATTGTACACTCAGGATGCAGTTCAGCACATTCCTCTATGCTCTGCATTTCCTCAAAATTGCCAGTTGGATCCAGAGACTTGAGATTCAGGTTCTAATTCAGGTTCAGTCCTTTTGGCAAGACCATAGGAAGCATGCAATGCCCGACTGTCTCTTCATGACGTTAACAATCATTAGTATATAATGCATATATCTATTAATCCGTTGGGGGCTATACATGGTATTAGTCTAATTTTATTACCTTTTCATTTAAAAGTTAGAATACTTTTATACATGATATTACCTCTTATCTATTATTGGTTGCTGTTCACATAGTTTACAAAGTAAAATCAGGACAAATGCTTCTTTCTCCTTATTTGCCAGTTTTCATTTATAATGAATTGTTTCTCTGTCATTCTCCAAAGTTGGCAGATTCTTTTTTTTAAAAAAAATATCATTATGAATGTATGGATTAAATAATTGATGTGTTTCAGTCTCTTGCAATCATTATCATAATTGTAGTATTGCTTTTTAGGCAACCCTGGTGCCCAGGCTATACATTTGTCCTGGGGAGTGGGGAGGAAGAGAAACAGCATGAGCACCATGGGACCGAGACCGTCCCTGGCAGCCGGTATCCTGGCAACACTGTTCACACCTGCTCCCTGGATGGATCTTGGGAAAGCCCCACTTGGTGGAGCCCATTCCTGCTGCCCTTTTCCAGCTGGTTCTCTGTCACTCTCCTTTTCTTCCCAGGTTTGGCCGGAAGAATGTGCTGTTCGTGACCATGGGCATGCAGACAGGCTTCAGCTTCCTGCAGATCTTCTCAAAAAACTTTGAGATGTTTGTCGTGCTGTTTGTCCTTGTAGGCATGGGCCAGATCTCCAACTATGTGGCAGCATTTGTCCTGGGTATGGCCATCAGGTTGGAGTTGAGTACTTGATCCTGTATTTCACCATCATCCCATCACTCACCTTTCTGGAGACAGCTGTGATGTCCCACAAGGGGGACAGGGTTTTTAACAAAACCAGCCAGAGCTTCCTGGTGAACCGTACTTACAGGCAGGGAAACTGAGCCAGACATGTGACCAGCCTGGGGTCCCCAGTAGCACAATGGCCTGACTTCTGATTTCCAGTTCTTTTCTGGCCTCTGGGCTGTGGCTCCATGGTCTTAGTACTTGATGGCCAATTTACTAGGACTCACAAGAGATCCTCCATTTACAAAAAGGGCCTGCCCCTGCACAGGGCTGAGCCAGCCCGGGAAAGAGGGCGGCATGGTTGGAGGAGGAGGGGCCGTGACTGGCAAGCTCGCCAAGGTAGAGAACCCCTTGTCTGCAGAGCACTATGGCTGGTGATATCTATGGACAAGAATAAATTGATAGGAATGGGCTTTCGTCACCTTCAGGGTTTTAATTCAGAGTGCACACTGCAGGGCTTTGTCTCAAATGTGCCAGCCTGTTGTCACTGAGAAGCTGCAGGCCAGCCTGTGTTTGGAGGAACCTGACTCTAGCTGATAAGGCCTTTGAGTTCCTTGGGTTGTATTGTTGAAAGGATTGTTTTTTCTTTTCATATTTAATATTCTCTTTCCTTGAGGCTTAAGCCAGCATATGCTGACTTAGTAATGACTTCACTTTTAATAAATTCTTCCTCATGTGAGGATTAAAGGGGGCCTACCATGGCATCTTTATCATGTGGCTTCAGAACATGGTGAAATTTTCAAGAGAGAACTGTTGCTAGGGGGCCTGAGAGGCCACAGGGATGCAGCCCCAGGAGATGGTCAGATAGGAGGGGTTCAGAACGCCATCCGCTCCCTAGCGCCAGGAACTTAGAGACAGTTCTGGCTGTTTTCTTATCTGCGTATTCACACAGATACCATAAAAAAATTAATAAAGAAGTAATCCAAATTAAACTGCTAACTCGACCTCCCTTGTTTTAAACAGGGACAGAAATTCTTGGCAAGTCAGTTCGTATAATATTCTCTACGTTAGGAGTATGCATATTTTATGCATTTGGCTACATGGTGCTGCCACTGTTTGCTTACTTCATCCGAGACTGGCGAATACTGCTGGTGGCACTGACGATGCCGGGGGTGCTGTGCGTGGCACTCTGGTGGTGAGTGTGACCCTGTGCCCCGTGTGCCCACTGGCAGGATGATTTCTGTCTGGCCTTCACTAGAGGGCAGCAACAAGCCATGAATCCCTATTTTGTCTCCTAGAGACAGGAAGCATAGATGATTTATAAATTATTTCAGAATGTTTTCTCCACACTCAAAGAGCCAAAACAAAACAGAATCCCATGACGGCAACAGACTTGCTCTCAGCCCTGTGCTGGGTTGCCCGAAGTGCAGGGAGAAGTAGCAGTAGCTATGAGAAGATGGGGTCCAGCATGACCTGGAGGAAGTTTCCAAGCCTCAGGGCAGGACAGTGTAGGCCCTAGTTCTGGCTGTGTGCTGCTGAAGCCTCATGCCACAGGCACTGGCACCAAAAGCAAGAGTCCTCAGGGTAGCCACGTGGAGGAAGCCAGGCTCCTTCTGCACCACCAAGGTAGAGGAGTTGAACAGGCAGAGAAGAGGCCATTCCCGACCAAGAGGGGAACACAGCAGAGGAGCTAAGGTGGGAATCACCCCTTGCAGGTGGAGAAGGTGAAATCACCAGCCCACGTGGAGCAGAGAGGATTTCAGGGCATAGTGGGAGAGTAAGCCACACATCATGGGGCCCAGTCATGACCAAGGGTGGGGGGCGGCTACCTGGTCCCAGAAAGATGGAAAATAATATCCATAGAGCACCTTGATAAGCATGCTAATTGTTTTTTCTTTTTTCTTTTCTTTTCTTTCCTTTTTTTCGAGACAAAGTCTTTGTCTGTCGCCCAGGCTGGAGTGCAGTGGCGTGATTTCCACTTACTGCAACCTCCGCCTCCCCAGTTCAAGCGATTCTCATGTCTCAGCCTCCCGAGTAGCTGGGACTACAGGTGCCTGCCACCACACCTGGATCATTTTTTTGTATTTTTTTGTAGAGACAGGCTTCACCATGTTGGCCAGGCTGGTCTCAAACTCCTAGCCTCAAATGATCCACCCGCCTCTAAAAGTGCTTGGATTATAGGAGTGAACCACTGCACCTGACCAAACATGCTATTTTAGGTAGAGTATCTGACAAGTCTGTTGGATAAATCAGGGGTAGGGTGAGGAGAGAAGAGAAGCTAAGAGGCTAGGGCAGAAGCTTCTGTTGGTATCAGGGACAGGGAGGAGAGTGTAGCAGGGCCTGGGCTGGCCTAGACATGCACAGAAGCCTGGCTTCCAGAGCCCATCTTGCACCCATCTCCTCAGCCCAGCAGGTGGCACCAGTGCTCTTCAGAAATGGAGGTGGCCAGCCAGCATTGGGATGCTGTCAGAGGGTGCAAGGCTCTCACATTTTTGTGCAGTGTGGTGTACACAAAACTCATCCACCCCAGGTTGTTGCTGTGTGTGGATCAGCTCTTTGCTTCTGGCTTGTGAACACCAAACATTCCACAAGCTCTGGTTCTGCAACCCCATTCCCTCCTATGGCTGTGCTCTGCCTGGTCCGTGGGTCTACTGTTGGCAGGGAGGCCTCACTGAGATCACACTTTGTACTGCCAGGTTCATCCCTGAGTCCCCTCGATGGCTCATCTCTCAGGGACGATTTGAAGAGGCAGAGGTGATCATCCGCAAGGCTGCCAAAGCCAATGGAATTGTTGTGCCTTCCACCATCTTTGACCCAAGTGAGGTAAGCACCACGTGGGTGCAGATGAGAGGGACAGACTGACTGTGATTTGAGGGCAGCAGCACCCAGCCCTGAAGTCCTCCCTGCTCACAGCAACCCAGCCCTCTCTCTGCCCAAGCCCCAGCTGCCCGCCCCCCAAACCCCTCCATCCCCCCACCCCCAAGTGGGCCCTGTTAACATTCAGAAGTTGAGGAATAGGTTACAGCTGCCTCACTCTTTTCACCACGGGTTTTAGATTTTCATTCTTTACTTCCTTCCTTTCTAGGCAATCATATATTTTAACCATTACTTCTAATAATAAACACTCTTTTTGAGTAATAGGCCTTTCATAAAGTCAGCATTTGGGGAAATCATTGTTTCTTATACGTAAGGTAGCTTGTCATCTTACAGAGATAACCCCGAATGTAAAATGTAAAGCACAGATAGATTTGGAGTTAGAAGTATTTCATCTCTTGAGTATTAGCAATTATTCATTAAAAATAATTTTTTAAAAAAGTGTTTAGTCTCTTTCTGCCCTCCAATGGTTAATTATTGCATATCATCTTGGAGTCAGGTCCTTTTTGATGTCCACCTCTTCCCCCTACCCCACCCTCCCTGCAACCCTGTTCTCACACACCATGAGTCATTTCTTGGCTCTGCCTCGTTCCTGGTTCTTGCTTTTCCTTCCCGTTCCCTCTACTACCATCTCTGTAGCAGGCAGTTTTCCTCGGTCTCGTGACTATGAGGAGAGGTTAGAAGCTGTAAATGCTGCCTGGTGTGGTTCTGGAATGTGTCTGTGGTCTGACTGGAAGATGAGGGGTTGGCTGTGGGAACAGCCACAAGCAGCCATGCTGAAGTGTGAGAGGCAGGCATGGTTGGTCTTGGGAAAGAGGGAACAGTTATTGTAGACAGCGGAAGCCAATGGCCACTGCCAGCCCTGCAGACTTCCCAGTGAGTGGTGGCCCAGCAGCCACTGTCAGCATGCACCAGAAAGGGGTCCTGTGCGCAAAGGTCAGGGCGGAGTGTGGCAGAGGGCTTTTAAGTTAGGTGGCTTTGGGGGTTTTTAAGTGAGGGGTCAATCTGGGTGAATGCATAAGCCCCACTGGCATCTTTGAGGAAATGAGGCTATTTCAGGGGATCCTTTCAGTCCAAAGTTGACCTTTGGTTGAACTTCTAACTGGAAAAACAAGCTCCAAACCTGGGTTTGCTTAAGAAAGCAACATCAGTGTGTTTAGACGTGTGGTTTATTAATGGCCTTGGCTGTGCTGAATTTCGTAGGAAGTCACTCTGGGTGAAGCTCAGGTCAATTTTCCTGTTTTTCTATTTGAATTATTTTTCCCTGGAAGCAGACCAGTAACTACATGGTATAAGGACTTGAAACATTAACTTTTTAAAAATATCAGACCAATAAACCACACAGCCAGGTTCTCTCTCTGACCCAGAGGGCAGGGAGCCAGGCTTGGGGAGGAATACTTAGAGGCCTCCTTGGAATGTGGCCACTGACAGGAAGATGTGGGGGTGCAGTGAGGAAGCGGTCAGCCTGGGCCTCTGTATTCCTGTACCCTTAAGGGACTGGTCACCTACTTTTCCTCATTTTCATTCACTCTGATTTGTTACTGACAAGGCCTAGGGAAGTTTTCACAGCCTTAAACACAGTCAGTATCCTTACTGTTCTTAGAAACATAACACTCCCCGACTCTGAGATGCAGACAGCTAAGACGCCAGGGATTCAAGTATGTTATTGTGTGCTCTGAGTCGCTGACCACCTCATCTTCCCATACCCTTATCATGTTGTTCCTGCAGTTACAAGACCTAAGTTCCAAGAAGCAGCAGTCCCACAACATTCTGGATCTGCTTCGAACCTGGAATATCCGGATGGTCACCATCATGTCTATAATGCTGTGGTATGTAAAAGAGACCTGCCTGAGGCTTCCAAAGCTTCTTGAAGTGGCTATTGGGTCTGTTGTTTACAGACACGCTTCAGACCAAAATTGAAGGCCTGTGTCATCAGAGAGTTAAAAGGATATGTCTTATGTTAGATTGAAGAAATGGGCATGTCACAATTCTTAATGGGATGGAACCTCAGAGAAGGAGAATGAAAACAATTGTGGAGGCTGTTTTGGGAAATATGGACTCTTTTGTGGGGAATCTCTCCAGATCTTAAATGAATCCTTGCCCAATTTGGGTCATTTAGTTTCTGTCTCCTACCCAGTCACAGACAGTGGCTGAGGAGGTCAGGTAGGGCTTTTAAGAAGGATCTGAGTGAAGACACCATGTCCTGTAGGCTGCAGAGGCTGCCAATTACTTTCTGGAAATGTGGAAGTGGGATGTGCTCCTCCTGGGATGTCCGTAAATGGTCCTGGAGTCAGGGCTATAGCCTAGATGTCCTCACCAGGTTCCCACTCGAGGCATTTCACAAAGTGTGTCAGAAAGGGATTTGTGAATTACCAGGGAGAGGAAACATGTCCAAGTGCACCTGGCTAGCTTTTGCTCAGCGGCCGAACCCTGGGATTCTAGGTGACTTCTGGAACCTGGTTGGTGAGCGTTGAGAAGATGGGCGAGGAGGGAGGACTTCATCTCAGAGTCCTTATTACTAGTCTCATCCAGCTTTGAGGCAGTCAGCCACTGTGCCTGCTGAGGGGGTGCTATGAGTCATCCGCTTCCAAGGAAATGGCCCAGGATCCCTCCAGGCATTTCACCATTCCCTGAGTTGGCCTCAAGACAGGAGCAGCATGTAGCCTGCACCACAGACATGCCAACCTGTGATGAGTCACCTACTTTTGTGTTCACCCAGGCTGTCCTCCCTGCTCTGGATTTCCTGGGGACTCATGCCCATACTCTTTTTATTGTACCAGCTGTGTGTTCCACCTGCAGATGAGTCAAAGCAGTCTAATCCATAAAGTGTGGGTCATAAACAGAGAGAATGCCTACTGGGGATGCCCAGGTCAGGGGCACTGTGGGGCATACACATGAGAGGCAGTGTGGCCCCTCCGTTGGGAGCCACCTCTCTGCTCCACAAGTACCATGGGGCTGGTGTTAGCTGCCTCTGACCAGCCTCTTCCTGACTGGTCACCACAGGTAGTGTGTGGGGGTCTCTCTCCAAGTGTCTGACCTAATGTTGTTCCTTTTGTTATATTATCCCCACAATCCTATCACATCTCACTTGATGTCTGCCTTCTGACTCATTCTCTAGCTCCTTCTGCAGTTGCTGGATTTGAGGAGGTTCAGCTTAGGATTTTTAAAGCTGAAAGGCAGGTTGGAATTTTTCTTTTCAATGAAGTAAATCTATCTGAATGATACAAGCTTTTTTGCTGGGACACTGTCTATATGGAAGGCTCTGAGAGTGCACTGGTGCAGGGTTTACACTGTACCACTTGGGCTGGGGAAAATTATCTTTTGATCTATGAAGACACAGGGTTACAGTTACTGCTGCCTTACTAGTCTCTGCTTAAAGATGGTTTGGAATTTACTGAAATAATTGCATTGTAAAAGTTGTACAGGTTGGGAGAGATGTAGATACTGCTTTTCCAGCTTTCTTCTGCACTCTGTTTCAGGATGACCATATCAGTGGGCTATTTCGGGCTTTCCCTTGATACTCCTAACTTGCATGGGGACATCTATGTGAACTGCTTCCTTTCAGCGGTGGTTGAAGTCCCAGCATACGTGTTGGCCTGGCTGCTGCTGCAATATTTGCCCCGGCGCTATTCCATGGCCACTGCCCTCTTCCTGGGTGGCAGTGTCCTTCTCTTCGTGCAACTGGTACCCCCAGGTAGGGACCATGTGCATCTATGGTTTGGGGTCTTCTCTGAGTGTCTTATTTCTACCAGGCTGTCTCAATTAATAAAGAGAATAAAATCAAGCCCATCACAGCTCCCTTGCATTTGTACATTCTTGGCCTAAAAATCAATAGAAAGTGTCTTCTGAGACTGGAACACTTATGGCCTGGGCTTTGAGGGAGTGGGAAAAAGCAGCCATTGGGGCTGTTGGTTAATTTTACTCTTTACCCAAGTTAACGTGTTCATACTGTTTTCCACTCCAGAAGAAGGGGGAAGAAAGAGCTATCCCATTACTTTTTTTCCTGGCCCCGTCTTCTTTATTTATTCAACAAATAGCTCTGGCATGCCTACCACGGGCTGGGCACTGTGCTTGGTGATAACGATACACAAGAAAGCAAGCCAGGCCGAACCCCAGGCCCTCGTGGAACATACATCCTAGTTGAGAAGACAACAAACAATTAAATAAAATGCTCAATACAGTTCAGACTGTGTTACCTTCTAGGAATACAAATGAAGAACAATGCCGAGTTCGTTTACGTAGTCACAGATAGTGTCCCTGAACAGGGGGCAGTTCATCTGAAATGTATATAAAGTGACAGAAAGCCCTGAAAAAGTCTAGGAGAACATTTTAGGAAGAAGAAATGGCAAAGGCAGTGACCCTGAGCAGGGGATGAGCCTGGCATGTTTGAGGAAGAGGGAGAAGGGGAGGGGCTAGACCACTGAGAGGGCCTCACAGGCCCTTAGCAGGAGTTTATTTCTGAAACTATCTTGGTATCCCACAGATGGGTGGGAGGTAGCCCTTTACAATAATTTATGGAGTCTTCAGTGTACCTGTAGATTTGGGAGCCTCTGATGGTCACTTTTGGGCCCATCAGGCTGGGAACACTGCACAGGAACAGCTCCCCATGGGATGTGGCAGGAGGAGCCCAGAACCAACGTAGAGGCTCACAGCTGAGCTCAGAGTGACCTTTAGGTCACATATAGCTCTCCCATCAGCACAGCATGGAGAGATTAGAAGATCAACTTGAGATTCTGATGGCCTATGGGTTTTTTGAGGTCTGAATGGGAGGAAAGCATGAAATGAGTTAGAACTGAATTCTCCATTCATCTAAACATCATGAGTTAATTCCATAGTGCCTGCAGTGTGAGGTCCTGGGGTGACAGCTAATCCCTGACAGATAAGTCTTTAATGACTTCTGGACTGGGAAGCAGGATGATTGGACTATTGAGGAGCTTACTCTGGTGGTCTCCAGGCTGAGGAAAGCGCATGTCCTTGTAGCTGCAGTCCCCAGCCTCCTTTCAGCAATCAACTTGGAGGGAAGTCTTGGCTATAGCCCCTTCCCCCACAATAGAAAGTGATAGAAACTGACTCCCCAAAAAATTCAGGGAGAAAGTATGTTTGTTTTGCTCTCAATAGCTGTGTGCCATGGGTTAGTATCTACTCCTACCCTCTATCCTTTGCTCCTCCAGACTTGTATTATTTGGCTACAGTCCTGGTGATGGTGGGCAAGTTTGGAGTCACGGCTGCCTTTTCCATGGTCTACGTGTACACAGCTGAGCTGTATCCCACGGTGGTGAGAAACATGGGTGTGGGAGTCAGCTCCACAGCGTCCCGCCTGGGCAGCATCCTGTCTCCCTACTTTGTTTACCTTGGTAAGTCCCATGGGCCGAGGGCACACTAGAGCAGCAGGATGGAAGTACTAACCGACTTGAATGTGAGCTGGAGGTCGCATGTTAACAGGAAAACAAGCTCATACAGCACATGGACTCCATCCAGGACTGGATCTTTGGCCGGGGAGGGTTCTTGTCCCAGTGCACTGGCCCTCACTTTCAAATGAATAACAACCTATACACTACCTAGAAATTGATGAAAAAATTAGAGGGTTTGTTTCTGTTTTAGCCATCCCAGGCCTTCCATCAGAGACTACAGTTCCTTTATCCTAAGAACCTACAGAGTGGTTTAGGGAGCCAGTGTACTTAGCTGGAGAAATTTCTTGGAATCAGAGTTTAAAAGGAACATGAGGGAAAAGATGTCCATACAAGAGGTCTGATGAACTGAAAATTATAACCTGGAGCACTATAGAGTGATTTTATCTTGTGTGAAGATCCACCCCATGCCATTTTATGTAGCAGGTCTCCAGTTTTCTCTTCTCAGAATTATGTCTTCATAGCACCTGTAGTTTCCCTGCACATCCCTAGCCAGTACCTCTTTAGGGAAGGTGACACCCACCTGAGAGTACCCAGAGTGCTTTGTGAACATGGTATGTAGATCTCAAAGCAAGCAAAGCAGCCTACCTAACCTGAAGGCAGATCACATGGGCTGGGATACATCTGCAGAGGTGGAAGAGTTATTTCTGTCCCTGGACAAGTATCTCGGGTTCCTTGGAAACCCAACCTTGGGAAATAAGAATAATTAGCATGGCCCAGAAATAGAAATAATCAGCATGGCCCAGTCTTCTCCTGCAACCATCCATTTTTACTCATCCCCTGCATGGTGGAACACTGCTGGGCTCTGGGCATGCCTGTGCCAGCTCTGAGTTCTGAAACCTATCTAGGTGCCAGATTCTAATGTGACTGCTCAGACTGTGGGAGATGTGAGACCAAGAAGGAAGGTGATCCCCTTCCAGAGTCCTGGGAGCATAAAGGGGTAGAGAGAGACCAAGTCTAACTGCAGCCCTGGGCCTGAGGCTCTGTCTGCTTTGCCATAGGTGCCTACGACCGCTTCCTGCCCTACATTCTCATGGGAAGTCTGACCATCCTGACAGCTATCCTCACCTTGTTTCTCCCAGAGAGCTTCGGTACCCCACTCCCAGACACCATTGACCAGATGCTAAGAGTCAAAGGGTAAGAAGACCTCCTCCCTCAGTGTTGATGCACTGGGTCTGGGTCTGGCCAGGTCTCAGGCGCCCCTCACAATAGAGCCACTCACAAACTCCCTCTCACAGACACCATGGACTGGTTTAGCCATTAAAGGGTTGTAAATGGCAAGGTGCTTACTTATAGCCCATCCTGTCTGGTCTCTTCCTGTGTAGACATGTCACTATGTACATCTCTATGGCAGTAGCCGTGCTGGATAGTCAGAGGCTAGAAGAAACCTTTCAGAATATGCTGCAGGATTCTCTTCCCAGGGAAGATATCCTCAGTTCTTGTTTGTTTGGAGACTAGGAGGCATCTTTTTAAAATGTGTTACTGACATATTTTTGCTTGTTTTTATAGAATGAAACACAGAAAAACTCCAAGTCCCACAAGGATGTTAAAAGATGGTCAAGAAAGGCCCACAATCCTTAAAAGCACAGCCTTCTAACATAGCTTCCAGTAAGGGAGAAACTGAAAAGGAAAGACCGTCTTGCCAGAAATGGCCAGCTTGTGCAGACTCCAAGTCCTTCAGTGACAAAGGCCTTTGCTGTTTATCCTCTTGATCTGTGTCTGACTTGCTCATGGATGGGCACCCACACTCAGAGGCTACATATGGTCCTAGAGCACCACCTTCCTCTAGGGACACTGTGGCTACCTATAGACAACTTCATCTAAGTCCTATTATAATGACGGACTCAGCACCTCCGAAGAAGTTAATTTTTCACTAGAACCAGTGAGATCTGGAGGAATGTGAGAAGCATACGCTAAATTTACATTTTAATTTTAGACTACTTGAAAAGGCCCCTAATAAGGCTAGAGGTCTAAGTCCCCTGCCCCTTTTCCCACTCCCCTCTAATGGTGAACTTTAGAGGAAAAGGAAGTAATTGCACAAGGAGTTTGATTCTTACCTTTTCTCAGTTACAGAGGACATTAACTGGATCATTGCTTCCCCAGGGCAGGAGAGCGCAGGGCTAGGGAAAGTGAAAGGTAATGAAGATGGAGCAGAATGAGCAGATGCAGATCACTGGCGAGTGCATTGATGTGTGAGCTCTTAGACCACTCAGCATGATGACTGAGTAGACTTGTTTACATCTGATCAAAGCACTGGGCTTGTTCAGGCTCATAATAAATGCACCATTGAATCTACTATTCTTGTTTTCCACTGCTATGGAAACCTCCTTGCTACTATAGCGTTTTATGTATGGTTTAAAGGAAGTTTATCAGGTGAGAGAGATGAGCAACCTTGTCTTTTCTCTCAAAGCTGTAACATGGGTTTTATTGTTTATTTGTTTGTTGTTGTATTCTTTTCTCCTTAAGTTATTTGCCCTTCAGAATACACTTGGGAAAGGCTGGTTCCTTAGTCTGCTGGTTTGTGTCTTTTTTTTTTTTTAAACACAGAATCACTCTGGCAATTGTCTGCAGCTGCCACTGGTGCACGGCCTTACCAGCCCTAGCCTCTAGCACTTCTCTAAGTGCCAAAAACAGTGTCATTGTGTGTGTTCCTTTTTTGATACTTAATCATGGGAGGATATTACAAAGAAGAAATTTAAATTGTGTTCACGGTCTTTCAGAGTAGCTCACTTTAGTCCTGTAACTTTATTGGGAGATATTTTGTGTTCAGTGTAATTGTCTTCTCTTTGCCGATTATGTTACCATGGTACTCCTAAAGCATATGCTTCACCTGGTTAAAAAAGAACAAACATGTTTTTGTGAAAGCTACTGAAGTGCCTTAGGAAATGAGAAAGTTTTAATAAGTAAAATGATTTTTTAAATAACAGCAACTGCCTAGAATCTTTATTTCTAGAATTTAGTGAGCCTGTGCCACACTGTCACCTGCCTTTTCTCTGTATCAGCTTGGGTTAATTCTAGCAATGGTTGGGATTAAGATTAAGATTTGATTCTTGTGAACTAGAATTCTTCACTTTATTAATTGACTATGGGCTGAGCCAGCCTTCTTGCACAAATGTTGTAGTTTGGGTTCCGTTGAAAGTAGAGCCTGAGACAAGTCCTTCTGTGCAGTTAAGCAGTTTATGCTTTGGGGACAGGATTCCAGGGAGCAGGAATAAAGGACAAAAGGAGGAGAACAGAGAAGGAGGGAGGCTGAATAGAAGGATGCATTTTCAGGTTGACTAGCACCAAGGGCAGGGATGTTCCATCCAGTAAGGACTGCAGAAGAAGCTTATGAAATGCATCTCAATACCATCTGTACCATGAGTAAAAGGGGGAAGCATTTCTTTGTTGGCACCCATTTGTCAAAGGCAGCCCACACATGTCAGCTCCCCACGTTTCCAGGCTGCACATGCACGAGTCCCAAATAAGTTCTGTCCTATGGGTAGAAAGCAAGAGAGAATACATTGCAGGGCCGAAGTAGGGGTTGCCAGAGCCCATGAGAACTGGTCACTGCAACAGTGACTGGAGTAAGTGGTGGACTGAGAGGATTGGGGGTTGAGTGTGGTGCAAGAGAGGTGTCTAAATCTATATACAATTTGCACAGGGCACTTCGGGCTAGAAGGTGTGGATGGACCTGGGTAAAAAGCTCCAGTGTTGGATAGAAACTCAAGGGCATGTTGCATAACAAAACAAGGAGCATCAAACTTGGGGGGGGAAGGCAGGCAGCACGTCTTCTGGAACACTGTTGGCTTCTCCACTCTCCTCAAACATGGTTCTGTGTTGGGTTACTGATTAACTGTCTTCCCAGGGGCTCTAGAATCTGAATTGCAGTTCTGTCTACCCATTATCGTGTAGCACAAGTGAATAGTTTCTGCATTTTCTCTCTTATTCTCAATGCCACTGATTCCAGTCATTTGTGGCCTTCTGAGGGGAAAAACCATAATTACCTGAATGCTTAGAGGTATTCATGTGGTGGGGCAATAGCCCAAGTCACTTCCAGGGTTGAGCCAAGCATGTAGAAATCCAAGTGCTCTGTCTAAGCCTGTTGGATTCATGTGTGGTTTGTTTCCTTTAGAGCCATGACTTTGGGAAGACTGACTGTGTTATCAGACCAAGGATCTCCTCCCCTCCAGGAGAGAGGTATATACAAACTGTAGCCACAGGGGCAGAGTTGGTGAGTGATGAGGTGTTCAGTTAATGTGTATAACAACCAGAAACCAGCATACTCACAGAAATATGAAGGACAAAGAAAACGAGGTGGAGAAACAACCCAGATTTTCTTAAAAACCAGTTTCCTGCCACAGATCAAAGTAAAGGCAAAGGTTTACCGTATCATCTTTTCCTATTCTTGGAAACTAGTTCTTATCTCTGTCAGGGTTCCCTGAACATTCTCATGGATTCCAGAAGGCTGTTGTTTGTCAAAGAGAATTATTCTGCTTAATACCTGGTCTAAGTGATGGGTGCTTGGAACTCAGCTCTGCACCAAGCAGACCTAATAGACATCTACAGAACTCTCCACCCCAAATCAACACAATATACATTCTGCTCAGCACCACATCACACTTATTCTAAAATTGAACACATAACTGGAAGTAAAGCACTCCTCAGCAAATGTAAAAGAACAGAAATTATAACAAACTGTCTCTCAGATCACAGTGCAACCAAATTAGAACTCAGGATTAAGAAACTCACTCAAAACTGCACAACTACATGGAAACTGAACAACCTGCTCCTGAATGTCTACTGGGTACATAAAGAAATGAAGGCAGAAATAAAAATGTTCTTTGAAACCAATGAGAACAAAGACACAATGTACCAGAATCTCTGGGACACATTTAAAGCAGTGTGTAGAAGGAAATTTATAGCACTAAATGCCCACAAGAGAAAGCAGGAAAGATCTAAAATCGACACCCTAACATCACAATTAAAAGAACTAGAGAAGCAAGACAAACACATTCAAAAGCTGGCAGAAAGCAAGAAATAACTAAGATCAGAGCAAAACTGAAGGAGATAGAGACAGAAAAACCCTTCAAAAAATCAATGAATCCAGGAGCTTGTTTTTTGAAAAGATCAACAAAATTGATAGACCGCCAGCAAGACTAATAAATAATAGAAGAGAGAAGAATCAAATAGACACAATAAAAAATGATAAAGGGGATATCACCACCAATCCCACAGAAATACAAACTACCATCAGAGAATACTTTAAACACCTCTATGCAAATAAACTAGAAAATTTAGAAGAAATGGATAAATTCCTGGACACATACACCTTCCCTAGACTAAACCAGGAAGAAGTTGAATCTCTGAATAGACCAATAACAGGCTCTGAAATTGAGGCAATAATTAATAGCTTACCAACCAAAAAAAGCCCAGAACCAGACAGATTCACAGCCAAATTCTACCAGAGGTACAAAGAGGAGCTGGTACCATTTGTTCTGAAACTATTCCAATCAATAGAAAAAGAAGGAATCCTCCCTAACTCATTTTATGAGGCCAGCATCATCCTGATACCAAAGCCTGGTAGAGACACAACAAAAAAGGAGAATTTTACACCAATATTCCTGATGAACGGCGATGCGAAAATCTTCAGTAAAATACTGGCAAACCAAATCCAGCAGCACATCAAAAAGCTCATCCACCACGATCAAGTCAACTTCATCCCTAGGATGCAAGGCTGGTTCAACATACACAAATCGATAAACGTAATCCATCACATAAACAGAACCAACGACAAAAAACACATGATTATCTCAGTAGATGCAGAAAAGGCCTTCGACAAAATTCAAAAGCCCTTCATGCTAAAAACTGTCAATAAACTAGGTATTGATGGAATGTATCTCAAAATAATAAGAGCTATTTATGACAGACCCACAGCCAATATCATATTGAATGGGCAAAACCTGGAAACATTCCCTTTGAAAACTGGCACAAGACAAGGATGCCCTCTCTCACCACTCCTATTCAACATAATGTTGGAAGTTCTGGCCAGGGCAATCAGGCAAGGGAAAGAAATCAAGGGTATTCAATTAGGAAAAGAGGAAGTCAAGTTGTCCCTGTCTGCAGATGACATGATTGTATATTTAGAAAACCCCATCATCTCAGCCTAAAATCTCCTTAAGTTAATAAACAACTTCAGCAAAGTCTCAGGATAGGAAATCAATGCAGAAAAATCACAAGCATTCCTATACACCAATAACAGACAAACAGAGAGCCAAATCATGATTGAACTCCCATTCACAATTGGTACAAAGAGAATAAAATACTAGGAATCCAACTTACAAGGGATGTGAAGGACCTCTTCCAGGAGAACTACAAACCACTGCTCAATGAAATAAAAGAGGACACAAACAAATGGAAGAACATTCCATGCTCATGGATAGGAAGACTCAATATCATGAAAATGACCATACTGCCCAAGGTAATGTGTAGATTCAGTGCCATCCCCATCACGCTACCAATGACTTTCTTCACAGAATTGGGAAAAAAACTACTTTAAAGTTCATATGGAACCAGAAAAGAGCCCACATAGCCAAGACAATCCTGAGCAAAAAGAACAAAGCTGGAGGCATCACGCTGCCTGACCTCAAGCTATACCACAAGACTACGGTAACCAAAACAGCATGACACGGGTACCAAAACAGATATATAGATCAATGGAACAGAACAGAGGCCTAAGAAATAACACCACACATCTACAACCATCTGATCTTTGACAAACCTGACAAAAACAAGAAATGGGGAAAGGAATCCCTATTTAATAAACGGTGCTGGGAAAACTGGCTAGCCATATGTAGAAATCTGAATCTGGATCCCTTCCTTACGCCTTATACAAAAATTAATTCAAGATGGATTGAAGACTTAAATGTTAGACCTAAAACCATAAAAACCCTAGAAGAAAACCTAGGCATTCAGGACATAGGCATAGGCATAGGCATGGGCAAGGACTTCATGAATAAAACACCAAAAGCAATGGCAACAAAAGCCAAAATTGACAAATGGGATCTAATTAAACTACCGAGCTTCCACATGGCAAAAGAAACTACCATCAGAGTGAACAGGCAACCTACAGAACGGGAGAAAATTTTTGCAATCTACCCATTTGAAAAAGGGCTAATATCCAGAATCTACAAAGAACTTAAACAAATTTACAAGAAAAAAACAAAAAGGGGCAAAGTACATGAACAGACACTTCTAAAAAGAAGACATTTATGCAGCCAATAGACACATGAAAAAATGCTCATCATCACTGGTCATCAGAAAAATGCAAATCAAAACCACGATGAGATACCATCTCATGCCAGTTAGAAGGGCGATTATTAAAAAGTCAGGAAAAAACAGATGCTGCAGAGGATGTGGAGAAATAGGAACGCTTTTACACTGTTGGTGGGACTGCAAATTAGTTCAACCATTGTGGAAGACAGTGTGGCGATTCCTCAAGGATCTAAAACCAGAAATACCATTTGACCCAGTGATCCTATTACTGGATATATACCCAAAGGATTATAAATCATGCTACTATAAAGACACATGCACACATATGTTTATTGTGGCACTATTCACAATAGCAAAGACTTGGAACCAACCCAGTTGCTCATCAATGATAGACTGGATTAACAAAATGTGGCACATATACACCATGGAATATGATGCAGCCATAAAAAAGGATGAGTTCATGTCCTTTGCGGGAACATGGATGAAGCTGGAAACCATCATTCTCAGCAAACTATCACAAGGACAGAAAACCAAACACCACATGGTCTCACTCATAGGTGGAAATTGAACAATGAGAACACATGGACACAGGGTGGGGAACATTACACACTGGGGCCTGTCGGCGGGTGGCGGCTGAGGGAGGGATAGCATTAGGAGAAATACCTAATGTAAATGACGAGTTGATGGGTGCAGCAAACCAACATGGCACATATATACCTATGTAACAAACCTGCACATTGTATGCATGTACCCTAGAACTTAAAAGTATTTTTTTAAAAAAATGCTAAAGGGCCAGGCGCAGTGGCTCATGCCTATAATCCCAGCACTTTGGGAGGCCAAGGCAAGCAGATCACCTGAGGTTAGGAGTTCGAGACCAGGTTGCTCAACATGGTGAAACTCTGCCTCTACTAAAAATACAAAAATTAGCCAGGCTGGTGGCACATGTCTGTAATCCCAGCTACTTGGGAGTCTGAGGCATGAGAATTGCTTGAACTAGGGAGGCAGAAGTTGCAGTGAGCTGAGATTGAGCCACTGCACTCCAGCCTGGACAACAGAGCAAGGAGACTCCATCTCAAAAAAAAAAAAAAAAAGCTAAAGGGAATCTTTCAGGCTAAAATGAAAGGACACTAGCCAGTAACTTGAATACTTGAATCTGCATGAAGGAATAATGAACATGGGGAGAGGTAGCTACCTAAGTAAATATAAAGGGCAGTATTAATTTTTTTCCTAACCTTTCTTTTTTTAAAAGACAACTGCATAAAGCAATAATTAAAATTTAGGTTGATGAGCATACAATGTATAAAGATGTAATTTGTGGAAATATAAAGGGGGTAGAGTTGAATAAGAACAAAGTGTTTGTGTAATATTGAAATTAATCTAAACTAGGTTGTTACAAATTAATATATGAATTGTAATCTCCAGGGCAATTATTAAGAAAACAAATAAATGTATACTTTAAAAGATACAGATTTAGAATTATCCTAGAAAATATGGATTTAACACAAAAGAAAGCAGTAATGAAGGAATTGAGGAGGAAAAAAGATAAAAGGCATAGAAAACAAATAGCAAAATGGCAGGAGTAAGTCCTTTTCAGTAATTATATTAAATGTAACTCTTCAATTAAAAGGCAGAGATTTGCCAAATAGATTTTAAAATCATGATACAACTATTATGATGGCTACAACAGTTTCAATTTAGATTCAAAGACACAAATAGGTTGAAAATTAAAAGGTGCGAAAGATCTTCCATACAAATAACCAAAAGAGAGTTTGAATGGCTATATTAATATCAGACAAATAGACTTTAACATGAAACTTAGACAAAGAAGGTCATTATATTACGATAAAAGGGTTTAACCTTCACATACTTTTAATGCATTTCAACTCCTGATATGACACACTTTTAGCTTTCTATTTCTCCTTGAAACTCCTGTCTCCATCCATACGTTGTCCTCCTTCATCTCTGACTATCCCAATTCTATTCATGTTCAAGGTTTACCCCATGACATCCTCTTTCTTGGAGGCACTATGGCTTTGGCTAAGTGCGCAGACCCAGAGCAGATAAGCATATGGTCCAAAAGTAGATGTCTTCACTTACTAGCTCTATAACTTTGGGGAAGTCACTTAACTTTTCTGAGACTCTTTCCTTAACTGTAAAATTCCTTACCTATATCAGGTTTCTATAAAGATTAAATTAGATCTTGCATGTAACTTATAATGTAATTATTGACCTACAAATAATTAGTCCTTATCATATTATGCTTGGTTCCATGAGGGAAATTGTAACTACCTTTGGGGGAAAAGACAGGCTTATCCCTAAGGTGCTTAAGTAGTACACTCACTGCACATTTGGTAGTTTAAAAAAAAAAAAAAAATTAACAAATACTTTCACTCATTCATCCTTGAATGAGAGAGAGAGCCCTCAGGAAAACATCATTCATGAAGCCCACACCTACTTCTTTCTCTTTTTAGACCAAGCAGACTAATAGTATCTGGGCTTCCTGACAGCTTGGGAACAAAGCATGTAAACTCGCCTACTGTCAGCCTCCACACCAACGTGAGATGGATATGGGCTGCCTGGGGTGTGCAGTTGGTGAAGGAAATGCTATACTTGACTATGAGAGAGCGCCATGTTCAAATATTCATGTAGTACTCATGATTTGCGTTCAAGCTTCCTTCCATGGGAAGAACCAGCGGTAGACCTGAAGAGCTCTGCCTTCAGACAGATGATTCACTCAGAACAGGTTGCTGGTGACTGAACCTCAGTGACAGGGTCATCCTTTGTCACCCAGCTCTCCAAGGGCACCTTGCTCACAGAGGCTAAGCTCAGAGTGAAAGTGCCTTTTGGAGTGCTAGCTTCTTTCTACCAACAATGATAGATTTCCATCCATGCTGCCAAATAGATAAGTTCTTTCCTTAAGGAGCACTTATAAAAGATGACTTCCAGGCCGGGTGCAGTCACTTACGCCTGTAATCCCAGCACTTTGGGAGGCCGAGGTGGGTGGATCACCTGAGGTCTGGAGTTCACAACCAGCCTGGCCAACATGATGAAACCCCGTCTCTACTAAAAAATATACAAAAATAAGCTGGGTGTGGTGGTGCACACCTGTAATCCCAGCTACTTGGGAGGCTGAGGCAGGAGAATCACTTGAACCTGGGAGGCAGAGATTGCAGTGACCTGAGACCGCACCATCACACTCCAGCCTGGGGAACAAGAGCGAAACTCCATCTCAAACAAACAAACAAAAAAAAAGACTTCCTTTTGCCAGAAAACTAAGGCCTCCCCAAAGCAAAATTATTTCCCTTTGGCTGTTCAGGAACAATTGCTCATCCCCTTTCAATTTTTTGACTTTTAACTCCTCCTCAAGGAAGTTAAAGGATGTTTTTTGCTATTGGTAGGTTGTGCTTTTCTAGAGGGAAATAGTTCTAATATTGAGATCTAAACTGAGAACTGCTGATTATCCATGGAACAAGCATTTTATAAACAAGACCAGACCCTAGCTCCCACAGAGGACATGGTTGATAGCTTAGTACCAAAGCACAAGCATTATCTTCTGAGTGGGAAAGCAGATATGGAGCTTCCTTGCCCACCTGACACCTGAGCCAACATGTGCAGAATTGGAGCCTTCCAAAACTTGGGCCTTTTCCAAGGTTCTCCAAGCCAAGGAAGGGCATCACTGTGTCAGCTTGGGTCCTCCTAGAGCAGACACCAACGTGGAATTAAACCTGGAAGAGTTTATTGGGGAAAATGCGTATGAAGAATAAAGAGGAGCAGAAGCAAGAGTAAGCAGAAAGAGCCTTACACCATAATGCAGGTCTGACCCCTGTGAAAGAGGAGAGGGAAGGTGGGAGGAGTAGATAGGAAGAGCCTCAGACTACAGAGCCACTCTGAGAAAGTGCTGGCCAGGCTGACAGGAAGCCCCAGAGTACAGGTGGCCTATTAGAGGAGTTTCGCCTCTGGCATTCTCTCTTACAGCGTCAAATGCATCCTGTAGCATTTAGGATGGCATTCTATATTTGACCAATTATTTGATTGTTTTATTACCTCACTCAAGAGTGTTTCCCGAGGGCAGAGACCACATTTATTTTTGTTCGTCACTGAATCCCCAGCATTAGCAGGGTAGCTGCATTTTGAGGTTGCCACAGAATATTTGTTGAATGAAGTATCTAAAAGGGTTATTTTTTTCATTTTTATCTGAATCACACATCAGGTATTTTTTTTTCCTAACCAGTGACTCCTAAGTTATATGCTGCTTGCACCATGCTTTCATTCCATTTATATCATTCTTCAGCTGTGTTGTGTGATTGTCAGCTGTGCCCCGCCCCCCAACCCTCCATTGCCCGCTTCTGTAGTAAAGTCTTTTGGGACTGGCCTTGGACTTGGACTTTTGCTTCTTTTGTGTCTTCATTGACTATCAGTGCAGGCCTGGATAAAGTGCTTGTTGCAGAACTTGCTACTGCACAAACTTTTGTTCCAGGGTTAGATCAGGAAGGGTAGTAAGGAAAACAGAGCTGTCTCCAAAAGGTGGGATAGAACGCTATCCTTTAGAAGTTAAATTATAAATCAAGCCAATCAGAGCAAAGACACAAAATGTCTCCATAAAGAAAAATAAGGGCTGCAAGACCTTACTGGGTAACATTACTCAGTAATGCCTTGCTCTATCTAAAAATGTATCCATCTGAGGAGGGGCGGCCTGGGTACCCTGATAAAGACAGCCTCATCGAAACAAACAGATGGTGTCCACCAGGCCCCATCTAGGGAGAACAGCAGGCCAGGCCAGCAGGGATGAGTGAACAGTCCTCCCTACAGGTTTTGACCTGTGTTGTGGAAAACGACATCCCACATTGCCCAAGCCTGATATCGTTAACCATTTAAGTCAGACAATTCACTCTTCTGATTCTGATTTTAGGCTCACTAAGCCACCTACTGACTACTGGGCTCCAAACTGCATGGCTACAAGAAGAGAATATACTCTTCAGGTGGCCTCAAGTCCTGTGTTCCTGACAGTCTTGCTTCTAACAGGAATGGCTAAGCTGCAGATTTTGGGGTCAGATGGCCTTGATTCAAACCCTGCCACTAACATACATAGTAACTATGTGACCTTGGGATTTCCTTCATCTTTTGTTCTCCCAAGTGAAAAATAAATAGGTTATAATATACCACATGGTAGTAGGGAGAATTAAATGAGGTAATGCATGTAATGCATTTAGCATAGCACTTCTCTAGCAAATAGTGAATGAAATCAATAAATTGGTATTCTGACTTCATGCAACAGTGCTAATCAACTATGGAACACTGGAAGTCAGATGAGATTTTTGGTCCCACAAAGTCAAGGACAAAACCTTGGGAAGTCGCCAAGATGAAAGACTTCAGGCCGGCCTTCACCTCCTGATGCTCTCTGTTCACATGTGTGATGTCTATAAAAGGTAACCAGGATTTGGCTTATCTTCTTATATCTCTTCCATCTTTTCCTGATCTTCATCTTCCCAAACATAGTTTTTATGCAGAAGTAGATTTAACTCTACTTTGCTATCTTGGAGTCAAGAATTGTCCTATACGGAGGAAGAGGCTCCAAGATTTGCCTTTTTTGTTTCGTTTTTCTTTTTTCCTTCATACTACAGACTAAAAGTATCATCTTCTGGACAGAGAAACAGGCTGTTGTTTTTCTAAGGTCATCATTTGGCCTGCCCCACTTTCCCACCTGCTCTTGAGGGAACTATTGCAAGGACACATACAAGCCCCTACATCAGTCACAGACCAGGGCCTCCATCTTGCAGGGAATGTGCCCAAATTACAAACAGGTAAACTAAAGTGACTCTGGGCAGATTTAATAGTTTATTTTGGTTTCTTGTTCCAGTTATAACAGACTGCTCTATGTTTGCTCTATGGCAAAAACTTTTATGTTTGCTCTGCAACAAACGTACACACAGGGCAAATTGTGTTTGGAGTATGGTGTCTTGCCAATGTTTTCTAAAAGCAAGTGAATAGAAATGCTTGCAAAAGTATTTTCAGACCTCAGTGGCCAGCGCTGAACACTGCTGTAGGAATGTCCATCAAATGTTGTGGCCGTGCTCTGCTCTAACAAAAACCTGGTTCCGTGGCATAATTGTAGGGGCTGTCAGGCTAAGTTTGAGACACCTTCCAAAAAAAATTTCAGGGCTTCCTCAGTCTTTAAACTCCAGAAAATATTGTCCAAACTTTCACAACTAACCTGTTATCATGGAGATAGCTCCAAGTTGACGCACTGGCCACTGGAGAATGTCTATCAAGCATCCAGGTAAATAATGACTTGGTTGCTGCCCTCAAGGAACCTACCTAGAGGCTGACAGAAAATTTTAAGTATTTTTTCCTTCTATTGTTCATTCCTAAAATTCTGGCGGTAGGTATGATTATTATTCCCATCCCACAGGGGAAGTAACTAAGTCTAACTACTTGAATATTTTGTCCCAAATCACTAACAATAAGAGATGGCCAGACACTGAACCCTGGAATCTCTAAATGTTTAGATATTGATGGGCACCGCTTAGACCAGGGAGTCCAAACCATAGGCTTGCTGTTCCAGTTTCTCTTATCGGATGGAGGGACCCCCATTTCACCGAGATCATTGACTTTTGGGTTCTCCGCTGACCCCAGATAAGATGCCTGGTACCTCGTGGTCAAGTCCCCTCCAACGGGGACTCCTCTGAGGCTTGGTCCCAGCTGCTCAGGCTGGCACCCGCCTCCTCAGGCCAGAGCCCAAAGCGCCGCCAGCGGTCAATTCCTGGGCCGGCTGCCAGCCACAGGCCCAAGTAAACGCTGAATGAAGGGCAGATGGAGGAACCTGTCCCGGTCCGGCGAGAGCGCCGCGAGCGCCTTTCCGCTTACCGCGGGCCTGCCCAGCCTCCCGTCCAGCCCGGGCCCGGGTCCCGCCGAGGCAGGTGTGCGCGGCGGACTCGCTCTCGGGCACTCGGCGGGACCGAGCTCCACCCCGAACGCCACCGGGCAGGCCACGCGCAGACCCGAGCCCGGGGCCCCCGCCTCTGACTGCCGGCCCGCGCTCGGCCCCGGTCCCGCCTCCCGGAGGTTTTCGCTTTCGCTTTCCTGCCGATGTCGTTGAGGAAAATGAAAGTGGTTGTGTCCAGGACTGGCGCAGCTGCCGTTCCCGGCGAGGGGCGCAGAATGCGGCGGCGGCCAGCCTGGAGCGCGGGCCCTGGGGCGCCCGCGCAGGGCGAGGTAAGCGCAGCCCCTTCGCCTCCGCCTCGCGGGCTCCTCCTTGCGGACCCGGCGGGCCCGACGCCAGGCGGTTGACCTGGGCAGGGTCTGGGGTTCTGCCGTGGGGGCGGGGAGGGCCTGAGACGCGGCACCCCTAGGTTTCGTGGCTTTGAGCCTCCAGGGCGGGCTGGAAGACCTGGGAGGCCTCAGACAAGCGTGCCAAGGGGCTAGCAGCCCGGGGTCGAGCTGGGACCGTGGCAAGTCGGGCCACCTGACCACATCTTTCCTTTTTGTAGAGCACCGACCTCCCTGGGTGTTGGTAAAAATCAAAAGTGGGAGGGTGTACGTAAAATATCGAGCAGAATGCCTAACCTGAGCTCATAATCTACTCCCTCTGACCTGTCAGACTCATTTTTCCCACTGGGCCCTACCCCATCCCTCGTGTAGTTTGCGTAAGTTTCCTAGATCTGATGCACCTGGGGGCGCTTGGGGTGCCTTCCGAGTGTTCCCTAACCAAGCAAGCTGGCAGCTCATCTCCCTTGATCACAGGCATGGAGAGCAACTAGGCCACGATGGGGCCCCATTGCCCCGGCCCTGTCCATGTGAAGTCAGGGCCTCACTCTGCTGGGGCCCCCATCCCAGGGCTAGCATAGATGGTCAGGGATAGGTGCACTCACAGAAGGAGTCCTTCCCAGACCGGGAAATTTCCAGTCCACTGCATCTGCCAGCAGAAACATGAAAGATGCGTGCCACCTTGTCTTTGTCCTTCGTCAAGTATAGACAACTCATTATTGGTATGCAAGAAGGGGTTCCCCCGGCCAGCGCTGTGGAAACAGCCCCTGCCCTTAAGGCGTTCCCCATCCCCTGACGAGAGAAAATATGTATTCAAGTTGCCCATAAGGCAGGTTGTGCAGAACAAGGACAGATGAGTGAAAGAGCTAAGAGCTGAGAGTAAAGTGACTAAATCATCAGGCACTTAACTTACATTTAAGTAACGTCAGCTTTTGCAGGCCAATACCAAGAATCCCCTTTAAGTCAATTTTTGTCTCAATAATAATGAATTCAACCTAATCACACAGATCTGATCATAAGACCCATTACTGAAACAAAACTTGAATGATCTTAACTTTGATAAAACCATCTGAATTTGACAAAGATGGTCTAAGGTCCTAAGTTTTAAAACATGGGGTCCCCCGCTGCTCTACCCCAGGACGGTGTTGAGTACTGATTGCTGTTGCTGGGCACGGTGGCTCACGCCTGTAATCCCAGCACTTCAGGAGGCCAAGGCGGGCAGATTACTTGAGATTGGGAGTTTGAGACCAGCCTGACCAACACGGAGAAACCCCATCTTTACTAAAAACACAAAATTAGCCGGGCGTCATGGCACATGCCTGTAATCCCAGCTACTCGGGAGGCTGAGGCAGGAGAATCACTTGAACCTGGGAGGTGGAGGTTGCAGTGAGCCAAGATCGCGTCACTGCACTCCAGCCTGGGCAACAAGAGCTAAACTCCATCTAAAAAAAAAAGCAAATCAAATAAAGAAAATGCTGCTGTTTTCGTGAGCCAGAAAATTAGATGCACTTCCGTTCACATTCCTTTGGCAAGAACTAGTCTCATGGCTCTCACCTAATTGTGAGGTGGCTGGGAAATGTAGCCTGGTGGTGTTCCCAGGAGGAAGAGAACAGAGAGACTGGTGAGTACTCGTAACCTCTTCCACAATCGACTAATGTAGTGAATTACTTTATCATGATGTATTTGTAATATACTTTTGCATTTGATTAGGTAATATTTAGGAGTTTAACATCCATGTTTTTAAGCGAAACTATCCTGTATTTTTATTTGTACAGTCCATATTTAACATTTCAAAATTAAGTAACCTTAAGTTGGGCAATGTTTTCTCTTTTTTTCTATCTTCTAAAGCAACTCCATTAAGATAGAGATTTTCTGCTCCTTGGAAGTTAGTAGAAGGCACTTGTAAAATGTTCTGGGTCTGAAACTCTATGGGGAAGAGGTTTCAAAATTATTTGAGTCTCTTAAGTACTTATACACATTTTTTGTGCCAAATTTGGTAATTTTTATTTTCTAGAAATGTATTCATTTCATCTGTATTTTCAAATGTGTTATCATGTATTTATATTATTCTTTATACGTTTTAAAACGTCTGTTTTATTTGTCATTTCTTCCTTTTTCTGTAATCTCATTATTTAAAAATCTTGTGTCAGTTATTCTTGATCAGTCTCACTAGAGATTTGTCTACTTTCAAGTAAATACTTCGAGTTTTGTTAACCACCCTTTTTTTGGTCCTCTATGTCCTGCCCTTACGTTTATTATTCCGTTTTATTACGTTTATTATTACATTTATTTTTTCATGTTCCTTTGGTCATATGCTTTTGTAATAGATTCAAACAGTGTAGACATTTGTAAAGTGAGACAGGAAAGTCCATTTCAGCCTCTATAGGCAACCACAGATATCATATTGGGGTGTGTTTTTCTGGACCCTTTCCTATGCTTATACAAATATTTTCCTACAACTTTCTAAACTGAAACTCATAGGTAAACCGCTCTCTATAGGCAACCACAGATATCATATTGGTGTGTTTTTCTGGACCCTTTCCTATGCTTATACAAATATTGGTGTGTTTTTCTGGACCCTTTCCTATGCTTATACAAATATTTTCCTACAACTTTCTAAACTGAAACTCATAGGTAAACTGCTCTCTATAGGCAACCACAGATATCATATTGGTGTGTTTTTCTGGACCCTTTCCTATGCTTATACAAATATACAAATATTTTTCTACAACTTTCTAAACTGAAACTCATGGGCCTCTTTCTATGGTGTATATACACACATATGCATACATACACACACATACACATCCATTAAAGTGGAATATGTACCATAATTTATCCATTTTCCATTCATGGGCATTTAGGGTGAAAGTCTTGCTCTTTTAATAATGGAATTTAATTCATTCTTACTTATTTTGATCACTGATAAATATGGTCTTATTTTTGCTATCTTGTTTTGCCATGTATTTATCATGCATTTTTTTTCCTTGTGACTCTATGGATTCATCAAAGTGTATTTGTCCTCTGTGTCTTCTTTCCTTCTTTTTATTCAGTGAGTTGGAAGTTCTATATCTTACAATAGGCCATCATTTAGTTCTTAAGCTTAGATAAACTTGTATTTTTGTCTCTCGCAAAAATCAGAACCAATAACCTCCTTCCAAATATAATAAATTTTTTTTTTTTTTGAGACAGAATCTCGCTCTGTCACCCAGGCTCGAGTGCAGTGGTACAATCTCTGCTCACTGCAACCTCCACCTCATAGGTTCAAGCACTTCACCTGTCTCAGCCTCCTGAGTAGCTGGGACTACAGGTGTGCGCCACCATGCCCAGAAAATTTTTGTATTTTTAGTAGAAACGAGGTTTCACCATGTTGGCCAGGATGGTCTCGATCTCTTGACCTCGTGATCTGCCTGCCTCGGCCTCCCAAAGTGCTGAGATTACATAAGGATGTTTTTTCACATCTCTTTTTCCTCACCTTTTCCCCCACAGGCACATATACACGTAGGTATCTGCCCAGGAATAACCTGAACAATTCCAATTGTTATTAATTCTTCTTGCTTCAAAATACACTTTCCTTTTTCTATGTTAGAAATATTAACAATTGCATTAGTCTACAATCTAACCTATTTGTGCAATTGCATATTATACCAGGATAGGAAAGTTTAAACATGTATTTCTTTTAGACTTTTCATTGACTTGCTGAAAATTTGTAGTGAATTGTATCTTGAGTAATGCTTCTCTGGGTCTCTTATTTCCCAAAAGTATACTTTGGAATCCATGCAATTCTGATCCTTGTTTGACCTTTGCTGGCACAAAGGCATTCTGAAATATTTGCAAATGCTAAAGTCACTTCCTCATGTTTTACAGAGTTTACTTTAGCTTGGTGAAACCAAATGCAATATCAGTTTGTTGTAAGCTTACCACTAACTAAAGATTCATAAAATAGCCCTGCCCTAGGGTCAGGGACTAGCTAGAGGAGCATGAAAATAGTCTTTGAAGATTCAGCTGCTGGATATTTTACACCAAAAAGCTGAAACGTTTTAACTATTTCAATATTTTGTTTATAGTACTTAATATTTGTGAACATGAAGGAAAATGGGCACTCTTACAGTAAAACTGTGGTTAAACTAACTTGGATGGTGTTTGGGCTCTGGTTATCAGAAGCTCCTTAAAGTGTCCCTACCTTTTATCCCAGTTCTACTTCCAAGAATATGGCCTAAGGCATGTTTTCGTAGGAGGTTATTTCAGGTGGCGCAGGGTAATTCTAGTTGGGACACATTTGCCACATTGTCTAACACTGACTCACAGTGAGAAAGTTACTCCCATGCTCAGTTCCTTTTCAGTCTTCTGATCAAGGGAAGGAGAAAAACTTTAGCTTGGTGCTAGCATGCCTTCAACACCTCTCTCACTAAGCCTCTCTAATCTCCCATTTTATATAAAAGAATGAGCAAAGGGAGAGCAGTATTTTGACTCTATTTTAACCACAGTATTTTTTTATTCCAATAAAACATATTATGATTGCCTTCATTTATGGCATATGATGTTGGTTTTCCACTTAAATAGGTTTGCTTTTTTTTTTTTTTTTTTGATACTGAGTCTTGCCCTGTTGTCCAGGCTACAGTGCAGTGGCACAATCTTGGCTCACTGCAACTTCTGCTTCATAGGTTCAAGCGATCTCATGCCTCAGCCTCCTGAGTAGCTGGGACTACAGGCACGCACCACCACGCCTGGCTGAGTTTTTGTATTTTTAGTAGAGACGGGGTTTCGCCATGTTGCCCAGGCTGGTCTCAAACTCCTGAGCTCAGGCAATCCGCCTGCCTTGGTCTCCCAAAGTACTAGAATTACAGGTGTGAGCCACCATACCCAGTCAGGTTTGCTTTTAAAATACATTTGTTTAAGGACAGAAATGAGTTGATTTAAAGAGAAATGTTAAGTACATTACAGATGGTAATTAATTATAGCAAAATAGTAATGGCAATGCATGGATGTAGGAAATAGGACCCTAAGGAAATAATCAGAGCTATAGACACAGATTTATATCTAGGGATATTCCCATAGATGAGGAAGTTCCTACCAATGGCTTATGTTACCATAAAGTTAGAAACTACTCAGTTGTTCAGCAATTAGGGATTGGTTAAGTGATTTTTTCGTACTTTCATATGATGGAATACTACCATTATGAAAAACTATATTTAATACATGGAGGATTATATACTGTTACATAAAACTGGTTATAAAAGTATATACAGTATTGTAATTTTGTTAAAAATGAAGTGAGTGTGAGTGTGTGTGTGTGTGTGTGCTTGTGCCAAAATCAATGGGGAAAAAAGACTAGAAGAAAATATTTCCAAATGTGTTATCTATGGATCATTGGACTACAGGAGTTGTTTATGTTTTCCTATAATAGACATATGTCACTTTTGTCACCAGAAAAAACAATATATCTATTTTTAAATTAACATGCTCCTAGGCCGACAGGACTACCTGGTATTTTGTCATCTGCAGGCATTCCTGGGTCCTTTCCTGCTCTAACAATTCAGTGAGGTCTCTGTGGCCTGCTGCAACATCATGGGGAAATAGTACCATTAAGACGTCATTGTCATCTCTCAGTACAATCCAAGGTACTTGGTTTTGGAGTGTGCATATTTATATTTTTGGAGTAGAATGGGAGAATGTTTCTAAAATTCTCTCAAATAATTTTTATTGCTTTTTCTTCTTGACAGCTCCATTAAACAGGACCAAATTAGGATCCCATTTTTTAAGTAGGTCTGGATTATTAAGCAAGAATAGAGAGATGCTGAGTCTCCTAGTTTCTTGTTTAGTCTTTCTTTAATTTCTACATTTTCTACTGACCATGAAGTTTTTAGATGTTGGATTTAATTATGGTTCTGTATCACCTAGGTTAGAGATGTGTATATTTAAATCTGGACCCCTCTCTTCCAGAATTACAAAATCTCTGTTCACGGAAAAAAAAAAAAAAAAAAAAAAAAAAAAAAATTTTGCTGCAAGACTTAATGCTTAGCAGAAATAATTGCTACCTTTTGCCTAGTAAAAATTCCCCAAGTATTCTTTCTCAGGGCTTGTTCCTGGAGACACATGAACTTTTTTGTGGGAATGGGGTTGGCAGGTTAAGCAAGTTAATGGTGTGTCTGTCTGGGAGTGCTCTGCAGCCCTGGTGTGAGCTTCCTCCTTCTGTAAAAGTGCTGGGCTCTAGCCAGGGTGAGCCAGCCAGGGCCTGAGCCTGAAAGAGACCTGCTGTAGCATTCCAGTACCATCTGCCAGATTGCAGCGAGACCTTTGACTGGCCGGCTCTTCCTCTGCTTGGGTCCTTCAACTCCACTCCTCTCCATCCCCACGGCCACCACTGTGGTGCAAGCTCTCACACCTCTTGACTGAACCACAGCAGTGACCTCTAGCTAGTCCCTGCCTCCCCTTGCCCTTACGTCCAATCTGGTTTTTCACAGGAGCTAGTATGTCCTATTCTCCTACTGCTGCTGTAACAAATTACCACAAAGTCAGTACCTTAAAACAACACAAATTTACTATTTTAGAAGCCCTGAAATTAAGGCTTTGGCAGGGCTGCGTTCCTTCTGGAGGCTCTAAAGAAGAATCGTTTTGTTACTTTTTCCAGCTTCTAGAGGCCACTGCATTCCCTGGCCCAGGGCCCCTTCCTCCTCTTCGAAGCCAAGTCTTTCTCGTGCCACATCACTCTGAGGCTCCTCAGATCTCCCCCTGCCTCCCTCTTATAAGGACACTGGTGATTACGTTGGGCCCACCTGGATACTCTCCAATTCTCAGGATCCTGAATCACATCTGCAATGTCCCTTTTGCCATGTAGGGGAACATACGCACAGCCTCCAGGGATTCACACATAGACATCTTTGGCAGGGCCATTACTAAGCCTACATAGATAATCTTTTAAAAGTACACATCTAAATGCATTACTCCTCTACCTAAGACCCTTGTGTGGTGCTCCAGTTCTCCAGGGTTAAGGCTCGAACTCCTCTTGTGGCTTGGAGTGTCATGCAAGGGTTGCCTACACTGCTTCTCCAGCCTCACCCTGCCTCCTGTCCCTGCTGACTGCCCACGATCCAGCCTGTGCACAGGGTGTGCTTTTGACAGGGACACTGCTTGATATGGTTTAGATGCATGTCTCCTCCCAATCTCTTGTTGAAATGTGATCGCCAGCATTGGAGGTGGGGCCTGGTGGGAGGTGTTTGGGTCATGAGGCTGGATCCCTCGTGAATGGTTTGGTACCATCCTGGAAGTAATGAGTGAGTTCTTAACTCTGTTCAGGTGAGAGCTGGTTGTTTAAAGGAGCCTTGGCATCTCCTCCCCTTTCTTGCTCTTTCTTGTGCCATGTGACACGCCAGCTCTCCCTTTACCTTTCACCATGATTGTAAGCATCCTGAGGCCTGACCAGAAGCCAAGCAGATGCTGGTGCCATGCTTGTACAGTCTACAGAACTGTGAGCCAAACCTCTTTTCTTTTTTCTTTTTTTTTTTTGAGATGGAGTCTTGCTCTGACACCTAGGCTGGAGTGCAGTGGCATGATCTTGGCTCACTGCAACCTCTGCCTCCCCAGTTCAAGCAATTCTCCTGCCTCAGCCTCCCAACTAGCTGGGATTACAGGCATGCACCACCACACCCAGCTAATGTTTGTGTTTTTAGTAGAGACAGGGTTTCATCATGTTGGCCAGGTTGGTCCCGAACTCCTGACCTCAGATGATCCACCCGTCTCAGCCTCCCAAAGTGCTGGGATTACAGGTGTGAGCCACTGCACCCAGCCTTAAACCTCTTTTCTTTATAAATTATCCAGCCTCAGATATTCCTTTATAGCAATGCAAAATGGACTAACACATTGCTCCTCCCCACACTCCATCTCAGGCCTCCCCCTAGAGGAGGTCAGGCCTCCTGGAGGTGCTCTCACAAGGACTACATGCAATTCTGCTACCACACCTATCACAGATTAACATCTGTGCATTTATTTAGGTGATTATTTGACTAATAATAAATGTTCCTCTTATGTAAGTATTCCATACAGGCAGAGACCATGTCTATTTCTTACCCATAATTGCATCCTTGGCACAGTGCCTGACATGCAGCTGTGGGCAATAAATGACATGGTTAGTAAGTCCTTGGAAATAAATGAATAAATGAATGGATATTAACAGCATTGTCATCGTGCTGTATCTCTTTTTCCCTGCTTTTTCTTCTGCTTGGCATTTGTCTCCTTTTCTATTGTTGCCTCCCTCCACTACAACAGAAGCTTCGTGAGAGCAGGGACTTTGTCTTGTGTGTTCGCTCCTCTCTTCCCAGGTCCTAGAGCAGTGTCTGGTCCATAACACTCAATGGATATTTTGGGAATGAATGTCTGCAAGATGCTGAGAATCTCTCACAGAGTTTTCATATGTGACCCCTCTTTGAAATTGAGTATTACCAAGTTATTCATTTTAATGATTCAACCTAATTCAGTAATCAGGCAAATTGGCAGAGACCTAAAATATTTACCCATCGTTGTGAGGATGAAATAAGTAAACAAGTGTGAGTTATTTAGAGCAGTGTCTGGTAACCACAGCCCTGTGTAAGAGTTTGCTGCTGTTGTTAAGAAATGCTTGACTTCTTATATCTTAGTTTTTGCTGACTCTGTTGCCTGTGTTGGGATCCCAAGCAGAAACTGTTTGTGGCCCAGCAGGTGTTGGCACTCGGTGAGTGCTCCTAGCTCTTGTGCCACCGTGGGGACCCAGGTCTTCCAGCTGCCTGAGGATATAGGAGGGGCTTCAGGTGCATGATTGGGGCCGTTGCTTATGTTTTTCCCTTGTTTGGCCTGCAGGTGGCAGCACACCCTGGCCCCCCAGGCAGTCCTGAGGATGGCCGGCAGAGAAACAAGAAAATGGACTCCCTGGCTGCTGGAGAGTTGAATGCCAGCCACCAGCCATGGGTGAGTGGAGAGTCTGACCGGAATTTTTCTCTTATTTGTTCTGCATTATTTGTGTTTTGGTATATGAATTGCTGTAATTCACATGTGTTCGATTTTGAGGCCATTTGTTGATTTTTGCGGTTTATTTACAAAAACAACAAACAATAGCAGTGAAACCAGAATTATTCCTGGAATGTATCAGAGAGTATGAGGGACAAGGGCTCATCCTCTGCATTGTAAGTGTGACTTCCCTTCCCCTCTGCATCTTAGGCCTGTCCCCTTTGCCATCCAAGGAGGAAATATCCACCCAGAATAGTTCAACAAGTATGTGGCAAGCTGGGAGGGTGAGGTGTTCTTTGCGGGGACCCTGCAGTCCTTCTTCCAGTCACTCCCAGGGTGGACTATTCTGCACTGCCATGCCTGGCCCCTCAGAACCCATGGTGTCCATCTGCCTGCCCAGGCCTTGCAGCCCCTTGGTGTACTTCTCCTGCTGACCCTCCCCTCTTCTTACCCCTATTAATTTCACAGCTCTATCTTGTTTATCCCAAGATCCTATTTGTGCTGCATTCTGAGCACTTGAATGAGGATTGTTTATTTTCTATTTTGATCACATTTGTTGGCTTTGTGCTTAGAAGAAAATAATTTCAGTTTCATAAATGGGAATAAGCCCTTATGTCAAGGACCACTACATCACTTCTTGGCATTCCAGTGAGGGGTCTAGTGAAGAGCTTCCCTGAATTTCAGTACCTTTCAAGGCCTCTCTTGAAAGAATGTGGAATTAATTTGGGTGGAGGCTTGTGCAAGGACTTTTTTTCTGAGTATATTTGGCCAGTGGGCCAGTGGGGAAGCAGAGGCATGGACCAGAGAGAGGAACAAGGAAGAAGGAGAAGCTGGGGCTGCAGGATGCCATCTGCTGTTTGTATGGCTTCCCATGGCCCACTGTAGTGGCCACAGGGCACTGCTAGGAATCCTTCATGTGGCTGTTGCTTGCTGTTGGGTGACATGATTCAGAACTGTGTAGCTCCATGTCCAGTTCCACTCCGCATCTCACTCACAAAGCTCTAGTGTTGGGCTGTTGGGTTTTGGTGAAAGCAGGTGCTATGAAGAATGTATTGAAGGACAAATCAGTCCCTAAGGGACTTCGATAGATGCAGTCCTAAAAACATTTCCGGGCTGGTTTCTTTTTTTTAAACACCAGTTAACCGTTTTCAGTTTAACTGTGTTTTCCTTCCTGAAACTTTAAGTGAGACTAATTGGTATGAATTTTTTTTTTTTTTTTTTTTTTTTTTTTTTTTGTATATTTTTTTTTTGGGAGTTTTTTTTCTTTTTAAATTTGGGTTGGGGACAGGAATGAAATGGTTTTTTTTTTTTTTTTTCCCCACACAGACCAAGCATGCAGAAATGGGAATGATTTAAGTTTGTCTTTAATTTAATTTCTATATATTTATTTTCCTTTCCTTGGGAAATAGAGGAAATATTTGGGGGCATTTTCACCAAATTGTAACTTGTAACTTCACATGAGCCTGTCAGCAGGAATTTCTGTGCACGTTTTAATGCCTGGTTGGGGGAGACATGAAAAGACAACAGACAGTTGCCCTCAAGGATCCTTTGTTCTGGCTGGGGAGTCACAACTTTGTTCCTCCCTTTAAGTAACACCAAATACTAGAGCCCCAGGGGCGGGTCTCATCATGAATGCCCAGTAGTCAGTGCCTAGAAAAACCTAAGTCCGGGGAGACTATGAGACCTGCCCCTGGGGCTCTAGTAAATTCAGATGAGAGAAAAGAAGGTGGGTGGTGTTTCCAGGCACACAGGTGTAAGAAGGACCAGGGAGTACCTAGGTCCAACTTGAACATCATTTGGAGGAGTGCAGAGAGATTGTATTGGACAGGTTGGTTAATCAGATTTCAGTGGTGGTAGGAGTTTGACTATCAAGCCAAGGAGTTTGAATTTGATATCATCAAGAATAGAGCAAGACTCCGTCTCAAAAAAAAAAAAAAAAAAAAGAATAGGAAGCGTCCGGGCCCAGTGGCTCACGCCTGTAATCCCAGCACCTTGGGAGGCCAAGGTGGGTGGATCACGAGGTCAGGAGATCGAGACCATCCTGGCTAACATGGTGAAACCTCTTCTCTACTAAAAATACAAAAACTTAGCTGGCCGTGGTGGCGCGTGCGTATAGTCCCAGCTACTCAAGAGGCTGAGGCAGGAGAATGGCATGAACCCGGGAGGTGGAGCTTGCAGTGAGCCGAGATCACGAGACTGCACTCCAGCCTGGGTGACAGAGGAGACTCCATCTCAAAAAAAAAAAAAAAAAAAAGAACAGGAAACACAGTTGGCCCTCCATACCAGCAGGTTCTGTGTGTGGACCTGTGGATACGGAGGGCTGACTATGCTACACCATTTTTTGTTTGTTTTTTGTTTTTGAGATGAAGTCTCACTCTGTCACCCAGGCTGGAGTGCAGTGATATGATCTTGGCTCATTGCAACTTCCGCCTCCCAGGTTCATGCAATTCTTATGCCTCAGCCTCCTGAGTAGCTGGGACTACAAGTGCGTGCAAGCAAGCCCGGCTATTTTTTGTATTTTTAGAGGAGACGGGATTTTACCATATTGGCGAGGCTGGTCTCAAACTCCTGACCTCATGTGATCCACCCACCTCGGTCTCCCAAAGTGCTGGGATTACTGGCACGAGCCATTGTACCCAGCCCTACACCATTTTTTATAAAGAATTTGAGCATCATAGCTTTTGGTATCTGAGGGGCTGTTCTGGAACCAATCCCTTGAAGATGCTGAGGGATAACTGTAATAGGCTTCTGAATGGGAGACAACTGACTGTTTGAAATAGGAACTTTTATTTCCATTTTACATCTGCTTTTCAAATACTATCTTTTCAAATAATTCTCCAAGGTCACACAGTTGGTGGGCGGGGGTTGGATCTGCCAGACTGCAGAGTCCATGTACACGCTCACCTCTGCACTGGCTTGCATTATCTCCAGACACAGGTTGGCCTGCATGTGACCAAGGCTCCACCCAGCCCTGACCTTGGATGACTCTGAGTCTATACATAGCTGCATTTGCGTGTCAGCCTTGCTCCCTGGGCTGAACTGTTTATAGGGTGAAAGGGGACTTTGGGTAAGTCACTTCCCTGTCTTCATGAGACTCTAGGAAAGCAGGGGCAGGAACTGAGCTAGGCCTCCATGGTCTGCACAGCAACAACCCAGATAAGTTCCAAGAGCTGCAGAGGCTGTCAGAGAAGCTTCAGAGCAGGTCCCTGGACAAGTCTCCTCCAAAGTGGGAGCTGCAGGGCTGATGCGGATTCAGGCAAGGTGACAGCACAGCTGCGGTCACAGCACAAGTCGATTCCTGTTACTGCCCTAATCCTCCAGCATAGGCAGGAGGAGTTGGGGATTTGAAGTTTGAAGTTGGAGGAGTTGAACTTTGAAGTTCTCCATGCATTCCTTTGTCGTTCCTTCATAGAGTATTCAGCAAATAACTAAGCACCTAATTGTTCCAGGTCTGGCCCTGGGCCCTGGGCTTACAGCAAGGAACAAAACAACCCAAGTCCCTGCCCTCGTGCCGCTTACATTCCAGTGGGTAACACAATGTTAAGGAGAAGTGAAGTAGAAGAGGAAAGTAGGGAGAGGGGATAGAGTACTAGGGCCAGAGACCTAGAGGTCCAGGAAGGCCTCTCTAAGGAGGAGCACTTGTGCAGAAACCTGGCATTTGAGCTAGCCAGGGAGCTAGCAGTGTGAATGTCTAGGTTGCAGGCAGAGGGAATGGCAAGTTCACAGAACTTAGGGAACATAGGGAAGCAGTGAGTAGGGTGATGCATTAGGGAGAGAGGAGAGTGGGAAGAGCCGAGGCTGCATGGGGCCAGACCTTGCCACCTTGCCAGCTATTGAAGAAAGGTAAGGTTTCTTTCTTTCTTTCTCCAGCTCTAAGGTATGTTTCAGGCATCGTTCCTGGCTGACTGGCTCTAAATCTGCAGCCCTCCCAGAGAGCCTTTGATCGACCCAATATCTTCCTATATCATCCCTTTTCTGGCTGAACTAACCACTGTTCGTACAGCTATGAACCCTGCCTAATACAGAGCTTTGGAGGAGGAGGAGCGTGCCAACCAGCTTTATAGGGAAATTAAATATGTTTTTAAGGTTGGAAAAGATGCACTTGGATATTATATTAAAACATTTCAACTTTGGTAGAAAGGGCTCCACCTTGGCCATGGAAAGGGCCTTTGTCATCACTGTTTCCTCCCCTAGGAGCTAGGAGGCTGGGTCGGTCTCCTTCTCACCTGCCAGCCAAGGGCCTAAGCTGATCACCCCTTGCTTGACCTTCCTGGTCTCACCTGTACAATTCAGTTAGTAATATTATTCCTGCCTGAAGGGGAAGAGGACGAAAGAAATGATTTATTGAGGGTTATTTCTATGTTGGAGGTCTCTGATGCTGCGAATAATTTCCACAGAAGGTTCCTAGGGGTTGGGACTGTTCCCTGAGTTATGTCCGGGCAGGGGAGGGGAGTGATTTATGTTTATTTTATGCATCCTCCCCTCTTTTTTTTTGCTTTCAAAACACTTTTACCTATGTCCTTGATCTCTGTAAAAGGGCTCTGTATGTTATAGTGGTTAAGAGCATGGAAAAACAGATGTGGTGCTGAGTGCCAGGTCCACCTTTGCTAACTTTGTCACTTTGGGCTTGTCCCCTAACCAGCCTGCTCCACAGTTTCCTGTTCCCACTGGTCTAAGATACAGAGTGGTGACCCTTGCTCCTGTCAGAGTAGGTTTAAATATTACACAGGTGGATTTTTCCCAGAAACAATACCACTCAGAATTTTCCTTCAGGCAGCATAGCACAGGGGAGATGTCCACACAGTCACACCTGTGTTTGAATCCCAGCTTTGCCTTTTTGTTTGTGGGTGGGTGAGTTGGGAGTGTGCTTGAAAAATTATTCAGCCTCTTCAACTCTTAGTTTCTACCTCTATAAAATGGGAACAAGAATACTTACTCCAAAGATTTGTGGTATGAATTAA